CAGTTTGGACCACAAGGCGGCTGAAAAATATGTGCATGAATTCCAGGAGTACATAGAGGCTGAAGGACTGAAACCTGAACAAGTGTTCAATTGTGACGAAACAGGCCTCTTTTGGAAGAAAATGCCAAAGAGGACCTTCATTACACAAGAGGAAAAGGCAGTGCCAGGACACAAGCCTATGAAAGACAGGCTGACGCTAATGTTCTGTGCTAATGCTAGTGGGGATTTCAAAGTGAAGCCATTACTAGTGTACCATTCTGAAAATCCCAGAGTGTTCAGGAAAAACAATGTTATGAAGAGTAAATTGTGTGTGTTTTGGAAATCTAATAGTAAGGCATGGGTCACAAGGGAAATTTTCGTCGAGTGGTTCAATGAAGTGTTTGGCCCTAGTGTGAAGGAGTATCTCTTGGAAAAGAAATTGGATCTCAAGTGCCTGCTAGTAATGGACAATGCACCTGCTCATCCTCCAAACTTGGATGACCTAATTTTCGAGGAGTTTGGGTTCATCACAGTAAAGTTCTTGCCCCCGAATACCACTCCTCTCCTCCAACCCATGGACCAGCAGGTTATTGCAAACTTTAAAAAACTCTACACAAAAGCAATGTTTCACAGGTGCTTGACTGTGACCACAGACACTCACTTGACCCTAAGGGAATTTTGGAGAGAACACTTCAGCATCCTCCACTGCATAACCCTTATAGGTATGGCTTGGGAGGGAGTGACTACCAGGACTTTGAACTCTGCCTGGAGAAAATTGTGGCCAGATTGTGTCGACAAGAGGGATTTTGAAGGATTTGGGACTGACCCTAATGAGCCTATGTCTGTTGTAAAATCAGTTGTGGCACTTGGGAGTTCCATGGGGTTGGATGTGAGTTTGGAGGATGTGGAAGAATTGGTGGAAGACCACAATGAAGAGCTCACCACTGAGGAGCTGCAAGAGCTTCAGCAGGAAGAGCAACACATCGCAGCTCAGAATCTTGCTACAGAGGAGGAAGAGAGATGGAAGAAGGTGCCTTCTTCAGAAATTAAAGAGATTTTTACTATGTGGGGTAAGATGGAAAGCTTTATGGAGAAACATCACCCTAACAAGGTTGTTGCAAGCCAGGTTGGCAACATGTACAGTGACAAAGTCTTAGGCCATTTTAGGGAAGTGTTAAAGAGATGCCAGAAACAGAGCTCTCTCCACAGTTATTTTGTGAGACAGGACTCCAGTGACTCTCAAGGTGGTCCTAGTGGCATTAAGAAACAGAGAAGAGAAGTAACCCCAGAAAAGCAAATGGTACCTGAGGTGTTGATGGAAGGGGATTCCCCTTCCAAACTATAAACAATCCACTCTCTCTCCTCCTCCAGTCTCCCATACACTAAGAAGAATCTCCAATAAAGGTAAGTGTTATGCTGTTAATGTTTCATTCATCATTTCCCATTGTATTGTTTATGTACTACATGTATATTTCATGTTAAAAAATTTTTTGTTTTAATACTTCTGGGTGTCAGGAACGGATTAATTGTATTTACATTATTTCTTATGGGGAAAATTGATTCGTAAATCGTAAATTTCGTTTATAGTAACGGCTCCAGGAACGGATTAATTACGAAAAACGAGGGACCACTGTATGTGTATATATACACACCCCTCTGGGTTTTCTTCTATTTTCTTACTGGTGCTTGTTCTTGTTTATTTCCTCTTATCTCTGTGGGGAAGTGGAACAGAATTCTTCCTCTGTCAGCCATGCGTGTTGTGAGAGGCGACTAAAATGCCGGGAGCAAGGGGCTAGTAACCCCTTCTCCTGTACAAATTACTAAATTTAAAAAGAAAAACTTTCGTTTTTCTTTTTGGGCCACCCCGCCTTGGTGGGATACGGCCGGTGTGTTGAAAACAAAAATATTGTTTTGTCCAATTATTTCCAGCTGGAATATCCACTAACCCACTGCATGTAAAGCTTATTAACCCGTAAACGGTCCAAACGTATATATACGTTTTTTCAACATTTGAAAGTATGTAAAAAATGTAGATCTTCTTTTTGTTTTTTTACACTTGAAAATGTGTAAAAAAAACTTTGATCTACTTTTTTTTTTGTTATATTTGAAAATATGTAAAAAAAGCGTAGACCTACTTTTGTAGCACTACACATGTGAACATAGATCTGCTTGAACCGTTTACGGGTTAATTACTGAGATATACCAACATCACATCAGGAACTAACATTTAAGATGAGGCAGCCCACCCCCTCCCACCTAGAAATTGGTCATGATAAAACTGTATGTCTTAATGAACTTAATACTTACTCTAAACTCTCTTCCTTGAGGAAGGAACAGATGTTATCTGGTGGATGGAATTTTTTTATACTGTGCACACTCACTGCACACACTCATTCTCTTATATTTAAACCAAGATTTACTGCATACAGTTTATCTGAGTGAGCTGAGCTCATGACATAGATCTACTTGAAGGGTCTTGGCTAGAGTGATGTAGATCTATGTGATGAACAGTGAAAGGGTTAAGGTTATTTAGTTACTGCTTCTTATTTCTTAAGGTTGTTTAGCTACACTTCTTGCCTCTTATGGGTGTTTATTTAAGGCTCAAAGAATGTTGAAAGGGTTGGGGTTATCTGGGGTGCAGAATGACTCTTTGAGTCGTATAGTGACTGAAATATATCTAGCCCTCCATATGTATCAACTTATCCTAGTCCCTCCCCATTCAAACAGCAGTTTTATTAACATTTCTGAGTGGGAAGACATTACTTGATCCATAACTACAATTATGGAAAAATACTACAGAGAAAACAATTCAACAGCAGAATCACTTGGGTACTTTTGTTCATATACATACATCTCTGGAGGAACTACTAGTACTTCTGAAGATGTGTCCGTATATAAATGCATACATGTGCTCGAGTGTTTTTGTGCAGTTAGTTTTCTACTGTTTTATTTTGTTATTCATATAGGTATTTTCAGTCTTGTGAGCATGTCCCCTCTGTTGCTTCACATGTCTAAGTGTTGTGAGGTTCAGGTCTTCTCTCTTCCTATTTTAGAAATTTATCACTGTGTGAGGTATCAGTCACGGCATTCAGGACCCACCTGTGTATGTGCATATGAAGGTCAATGTCCTTATGTTAACTGTTGGGTATTTGGATACCATCAGCTGTCTTATAAAGTTCCTCTATATAGTGCAGTTATTTGTAAATGCAATTGAAAAAGAGTCCATCTGAAATTGAATTGTGCGTGCGTGAAAGGCCTTTACATCCTATTCGATTTTTTTTTTTTAATTTTTTCATTTGCATCTACAAAAAATTGCACTGTATAGATGAGCCTTGTAAGAGAGCTGACTTACATGTTGTGAAATTATATTTGTTGCAGAACGTAAGATTATCATGTAAATACAGTATATGATCAGCTTATCAAATATACAATGACACTTTGTAATATGCTATCTATGAATTCCATTCCATTACTGGGGTCACTTTAATAACATGAAGCTGACCTTTGTATACAGCATTTATTGCATCAAGTTGTACAGTACAGTCTGTATATATCATACTGTGCTTTTTTTTTTATCCTATGCATGATGTATATAAAAAATGGTTATTACTGATAAAAATTGCTACAGTAGAGGCCAGTAGCTGGGTACTCACTACATAACGATGCACCTGCCACTCACTATTGAACATTATATATATTATGCTATTTTTATATTGAGTTGTATGTAATATATATTTCATTTGTTGTAAGATGATATTGTTTTTCATTTTCACTGATTTAATAAGTAATTATCTTAAGAGGTCATTGAAAGTCACATTATGTGCAGTTTTCCAACTTATTAATCTGGATATGCCATGGATATGTTATGCTACAGAATGTTGCATACAGTTTAAATACTCTGCTTTTTAAATGAATATACAGGAGGGCACCCAATTAACAAACATAGAAAGTTACAGGCATCCACACTTACAAAGCACTTGTTTGTAGGTGCCTTTCTAGTTGTATACATGTATATGGTTGGAGTTAACTGCATAAGAAATCCTACTTATAGTCTGTCTAAATCTCATTAACATTTGGATTACTTTGCCCAAAATGTGTTGCGTACTATGTTGGCTTTCTTTTGTGCCCACCATTGAATTATTACAAGTTACCTACACTCATGGCACAAAGATAGACAAAACAATCTTATTGCATTCTTGTTTTCCATACAAAACAAATACATGGAATAATTATAAAAATGGTTTGACAGTATTAACAAGTAGATGAGTAAGACATGTGCAGTAGTTGAGTATCTCTGTTGAAATGTTTCACCTACACTGTGGGCTTCATCAGTCAAATAATGCTGCTGCTGTCTCCATGTTTATTCTCTGTTTGTAAGTTGAAACAACAGGAACATAACTTGTTTACAAGCTGAAACAACACAATTTTTAAATTAGATAGTAGGAACAAAATTGTTTGTAAGTTAAAAGAACAGGAACATAACTTGTTTACAAGCTGAAACAGCACAATTTTTAAATTAGATAGTAGGAACAAAATTGTTTGTAAGTTAAAAGAACAGGAACATAACTTGTTTACAAGCTGAAACAACACAATTTTTAAATTAGATAGTAGGAACAAAATTGTTTGTAAGTTAAAAGAACAGGAACATAACTTGTTTACAAGCTGAAACAACACAATTTTTAAGTTAGATAGTAGGAACAAAATTGTTTGTAAGTTAAAAGAACAGGAACATAACTTGTTTACAAGCTGAAACAGCACAATTTTTAAATTAGATAGTAGGAACAAAATTGTTTGTAAGTTAAAAGAACAGGAACACAACTTGTTCATAAGCTGAAGCAACAAGAACACAACTTTGTTGTAAGTTAATGACAAAAACACAATTTGTTTTTCAGTCCTATTCAATGATCTCTTGCATCAATGTAAGAAACAGACACCTAAAATTGCCAGAATAACCCTCAGCTCACAATTAAGCCATCCATATCTTTGTATTTGCACCAGTTAATCTCAGCTTATTCCTACAGATTCTGTCATGGCAACCCGCGATTGGTCCGACTCTGAGTCAGTGGCCAGCAGTGTGGCGGCCGCGTCGGAAGTCTCCACAGTGCCAGACAAGTTTGGTTTCTTAGGAGGAGCACAATACTCAGAGGACTGGTATGTATAGATGACTGCTGAGCATGTCACTTCAGTATAAAATTAAACTGCATGTAGTACTATACTTCCTGTAGATGGTTCTGGGGATCAGTGCCACCATGGCTTGGTCACAAACCAGTCCACCTGGTTGATGGTCTGGTGCTTGGATTTCTACTAATATTTTGCATGGAACCAGACCACAAAATTGAATTGCTGCATTTACCACCTTTTGCCAGCTGCTGATTGAATGATGCTGGGAGCCTGAGCTGTATATAATGTTGACACACAGGGATGAACTAGTGAGCCTGAGCTGCATATAATGTTGACACATAAGGATGAACTAGTGAGCCTGCACAATAGAGAAATAACAAGTGATTATAATGCGTAAAAACTGGTTTGAAGTCAATTTAATGGGTGTTATAGAGGAGGGCCCCATTTGTACAGATCTTAGGTTCCTACTCCCATACAGTAAGCAAAATCGCCAGCGGGTGGAAAGAGCAGTTTTTCATTACTGAATGCATCTAAAATGCCTGATAACATATTTACACTATCATATATTAAATACTCAATACAGCTAAGCATAAAAAAAATTGATAAAAAAGTAAAGTAAATACAAAGTGCATACACTTCTTTCCTTAAAATATGGAACCAGTTGGCCTTCACCTATGTAACTTGCACGAAAATGGCGAAAACAGCGGAAGAGCAGTAAAATCACTGAACATAATGAAAGGCTCAATTGAAAGCCAATGAAAACATGGAGTACCAGCAAGAGGGTGCTATATATGTAGGGCCCTCCTCTACAGCAAAAATCAGACAGATAGCATTTCCTAACTCCGTTTAATAGAACCTTTCACAGAAAGTAGCTTATCAGTCTTCAAGACATTGTACCAATTCTCTCTCAATGTTCTGTGAACCATTTTCCCACCACCTGTTCTCAAACCAGGCCTCCTAAATTCAAAACTAATTTTTTCAGGGCAAAGAACTATGAAGAAACACAGAAAACTAAAGGCTAGTGCATAATGAACGTAAGTAGAAGTTTATAACATTTACCCGCCATCTTATGTTTATAAGACAGAAAATGAAGACGAAAGCAAAGCATTTAGAAGGATTCCATTTTGAGCTAATTTACGTATAGTTTAACTGTGAAATCTCTGTATAACCGAGTAGTAGGGTGAGGGGAGGGGGTGTCTGTTGAAATGAAAATCCATTGTACTGAAATGCCCGATGCAATACGAATACAAATTTTTATTTCTTTATGTGGTACTAAAATAATGTAGTTTACATGTAATCAAACATTAAGCTCAAAAGAAAGCCACTAGTATGGATGCATTTTGGGTTTATTGTATAGGAGTCTACCAGGTACACATTACTGCTGACATAAAATCTCAAAGCATTAAGCATTTGTCTAACCAAATATGTTGCTTGTTATAACCAAAATTCATTACATAGGGATCCATTATATTGAAGCCTTACTGTAGCAACAGTGTCATACATCTACAAAATTCAGTCATAAACCTTAACCCTTCCACTGTTGCCAACCCCCTAATTGACAGCACTTTCTGTGTTACCATTTTTTTTTTTTTTTTTTTTTTTTTTTTTTTTTTTTTGAGAAAAAAAAATTATTTAACCCTTAAACAGTCCAAACGTATATATACATTCACTTGTGCAGCACCCCGAATATTTTGACAAAAAAAAAATAGTTTTTTTTATTTAGAAAAAAAATGCACAAGGTACTAAGTGGTCCCAGATTTTTTTAATATGGTGCACACCGAGTGTTAAGACTCATTCTGTGCTGACCAGGCATCTCAGGGCAATCGTGCCAAATTTGGAAGCAAGAAAATTTAAACGTATATATACATTTGGGGCGCTGTGTGTAAGAACGTATATATACGTTTGGACCGTTTAGGGATTAAATTAGTAGAGAATATATTTCCAAGGATAATGATGCCAAAAATAAAAATTTGCTACTTGCACTAAATTTTAGGGCACTGTGAATTATGAATATTTGTGCAGCACCCACCCTGATCCCGCTGATATAGATCTGCATGACCGACAATGATAGGGTTAAACAATATGTAATCGAGGAAAACATTCTACATTTCTTTACTTATGTTTATAAAAAATTATGAGAATACCAGATAGGCATCAAATGGCCAGATGAAGTAACAAAAATAATTGCAGTTAATAAACATATGAGAAGAAAACAATAAAATTATTCAGTCATAATCCTCTTCTCTTATCCCTCCCTCCATCACTATTCTGTCAGCTTGTTTTTGTAAGGACTAAAGTGCATGCATGAGCGTGTTTGATAGGGGTGAATGGAGACAAATGGTTTTTAATACTTGACGTGCTGTTGGAGTGTGAGCAAAGTAACATTTATGAAGGGGTTCAGGGAAACCGGCAGGCCGGACTTGAGTCCTGGAGATGGGAAGTACAGTGCCTGCACTCTGAAGGAGGGGTGTTAATGTTGCAGTTTAAAAACTGTAGTGTAAAGCACCCTTCTGGCAAGACAGTGATGGAGTGAATGATGGTGAAAGTTTTTCTTTTTTCGGGCCACTCTGCCTTGGTGGGAATCGGCCAGTGTGATAATAAAAAGAAATAATAATAAAGTGCATTTGTTTAGAACTTGGGAATACATGTTTCCTTACTACTATTCCTTCCCTCCCCTTTGTTTACTCCCAGTTCCAACTTTGTCACAGCAGCCCAACTTCATTTTCTGTGTGTCCATTTCTGTTGGACTGGGCTCGTTGGATTTACCTTGCCCAAATAGGTTTTTATTTCTGGTCATTCTTTCCTATGAATGTCAAAAAAAAAAAAATTTAGTGGGCTTCATGTCCAGTGTCTTTTTTGTGTGAGACACTGAAATTGAAAACCAGTGGGAGTAGGCTCATTGGATTTACAGGTGGGTTATTGAATATAAGAAATATAGTAGGCTCATCCTCCTTTCACTAAGAATGAGAAGCTAAATGAATCGGTGTTCTTCTTCTTTCAACAAACTGGCCGTATTCCACCGAGGCAGGGTGGCCCAAAAAGAAAAACAAAAGTTTCTCTTTTTAACTTTAGTACGTAATGTATACAGGAGAAGGGTTACTAGCCCCTTGCTCCTGGCGTTTTAGTCGCCTCTTACAACACACATGGCTTACGGAGGAAGACTTCTGTTCCACTTCCCCATGGAGACAAGAGGAAATAAACAAGAACAAGAATATTTTTTTTATTATTAACACACTGGCCAATTCCCACCAAGGCAGGGTGGCCCAAAAAAGAAAAACCATCACCATCATTCACTCCACCACTGTCTTGCCAGAAGGGTGCTTTACACTACAGTTTTTAACCCTTTGACTGTTTCAGGCCCCTTTCTGAAACTGTCATTCTATGTCGCTCAATTTTTGAAAAAAAAAAAAATATTTTTTCTTATGAAATATTAGAGAATCTTTTCCCGATGGTAATGACACCAAAAGTTCGAAATTTGGTCGAAAACTCATGGAATTATGCTCCCGCGAAGTTAGCGGTCTCGGCGACATATGCGTATCGGCGATTTCGCCTACTTTGAGCCCTATTTTCAGCCAATTCCATTGTTCCAGTTGACCAAACTCATAACTATTTCTTTAGAACTCCATTTTATCTATCAGCTGAGTACAAGAAACCTCCCATTTACTAATTTGGACTACCCAATATGGTGGTCAGAAATTGGCAATTTGGCCAATTTCACGCAAACTAAAAAAGATGCCAATTTCAAAATAGGGTCCAGAATAAACAAGGTAGACATTCGTGGCACTAAAATAACATATACTCTGTTCATTAGTCACATCTCTAGGCCCCTCTTATATTATTATTGCTTTCTATTTTGATTTTTTATTCATACAAAAAAATACAAAATTTACTGTTATGCAGACTACTGCATTATTGTAAAAATGGTATAAATAATATCAGTACACTAGTGAAAGAATATTAGACTCCCCAGTTGACGTGTATTGGACGTGTGGTGTGATTTATTTACTCCTGAACGTTGGTAAAAATCGAGCATTTCCGCTATTTTGAGCTCAGTTTCAAGGTCGTTTTCATGATCATAGTAATGAAAATCATCTCTATTTCTGTAATATGTTTTCCATTTTATCACTTAAGACCATGAAAACGCGAATACAACTATAAATACTATACGAAAATACACCTCAAAGTCGGCATTTTATTCCAAAAAAACGATCAGTTTTTTTTTTCTCATTACGCAATGTGTGCTGCAGGATTTTTTTTATGTGGTGCACACTGACCACACAGACCCATTCTCTCACATTTGGGCCTACCAGCTTTCTTCCGCTTGATTTGAAGCCGCTAGAATTATTGAGTATATATACGTCAGAAACATTGGCTCGTAAGACGTATTTATACGTCGAAAACAGTCAAAGGGTTAAACTGCAACATTAACACCCCTCCTTCAGAGTGCAGGTACTGTACTTCCCATCTCCAGGACTCAAGTCCGGCCTGCCGGTTTCCCTGAATCCCTTCATAAATGTTACTTTGCTCACACTCCAACAGCACGTCAAGTATTAAAAACCATTTGTCTCCATTCACTCCTATCAAACACGCTCATGCATGCCCGCTGAAAGTCCAAGTCCCTCGCACACAAAACCTCCTTTACCCCCCTCCCTCCAACCTTTCCTTGGCTGACCCCTACCCTGCCTTCCTTCCACTACAGACTGATACACTCTTGAAGTCATTCTGTTTCGCTCCATTCTCTCTACATGTCCGAACCACCTCAACAACCCCTCTTCAGCCCTCTGGACAACAGATTTGGCAATCCCGCACCTCCTCCTAACTTCCAAACTACGAATTTTCTGCATTATATTCACACCACACATTACCCTTAGACATGACATCTCCACTGCCTCCAGCCTTCTCCTCGCTGCAACATTCATCACCCATGCTTCACACCCATACAGGAGCGTTGGTAAAACTATACTCTCATACATTCCCCTCTTTGCTTCCAAGGACAAAGTTCTTTGTCTCCACAGACTCCTAAGTGCACCACTCACCCTTTTCCCCTCATCAGTTCTATGATTCACCTCATCTTTCATAGACCCATCCGCTGACACGTCCACTCCCAAATATCTGAATACATTTACCTCCTCCATACTCTCTCCCTCCAATCTGATATCCAATCTTTCATCACCTAATCTTTTTGTTATCCTCATAACCTTACTCTTTCCTGTATTCACTTTCAATTTTCTTCTTTTACATACCCTACCAAATTCAGTCACCAACCTCTGCAACTTCTCTTCAGAATCACCCAAGAGCACAGTGTCATCAGCAAAGAGCAACTGTGACAACTCCCACTTTATGTGTGATTCTTTATCTTTTAACTCCACACCTCTTGCCAAGACCCTTGCATTTACTTCTTACAACCCCATCTTTAAATATATTGAACAACCATGGTGACATCACACATCCTTGTCTAAGGCCTACTTTTACTGGGAAAAATCTCCCTCTTTCCTACATACTCTAACTTGAGCCTCACTATCCTCATAAAAACTCTTCACTGCTTTCAGTAACCTACCTCCTATACCATACATCTGCAACATCTGCCACATTGCCCCTCTATCCACCCTGTCATATGCCTTTTCCAAATCCATAAATCCCACAAAAACCTCTTTAGCCTTATCTAAATACTGTTCACTTATATGTTTCACTGTAAACACCTGGTCCACACACCCCCTACCTTTCCTAAAGCCTCCTTGTTCATCTGCTATCCTATTCTCTGTCTTACTCTTAATTCTTTCAATAATAACTCTACCATACACTTTACCAGGTATACTCAACAGACTTATCCCCCTATAATTTTTTGCACTCTCTTTTGTCCCCTTTGCCTTTATACAAAGGAACTATGCATGCTCTCTGCCAATCCCTAGGTACCTTACCCTCTTTAAGGAGCCGGTAGGGCAAAATTTGTAACTCTTTTGTTTACCGTCCGATTTCCTCCAGTTTTGGTGCACAAGACAAAGTGTTTTCACTCTTTCTTGAAAATATTTATCAAAAATATACCTCAAACAACAACTGAGAAAAGACTGATTTACTGAAAATGCCCTTGTGCCCAAATTTATTCTTATATGGGACTACGTAAGGTTGTTTGGACACTTGGTGCTGAGAGAACAATGCTAATACTTATTTTCCCTGTGACCTTTTCTCTAAATAACTTATCCTTATTTCACAAAAAAAAATCAAGTTTGTTAGTTCCTGGAATATTGCAAAAAAATCTGCCCTTTACTCCCACATAACTCCCAAAGTATTTGGAATATTTCCAACAATTTCTTACAGGAAATTCGAGAAATCATTATTCTACAATTTCTGTGAATATTATTCCATTTAATTAAGAAATAAAGGAAGAATTATGGACTTTAGGTGAATAAGTTACTTGCGAGATATCGGCCGGGAGCGCCGGCCGGCCCCCGTCTCAAAAAAAAAACAAAAAAATTCGCGAAAATCGCGTTTGTTTGGGTGTATTTCTTAGTAAACTGATCTTCTACTGTAGTTATCCTCTTCAAAACACCGTTTTCTCTTACTCAGAGACCAAAGAATACAACATGGAGAGGAGTAGCTCAATAATATCGAAATATTCCCGATAATCTCTCGCCATATTATGGCCTATTTTATTCAGTCTAGAGTATATAACATGTTTGTATGTTATTTATAGTGTTTATTATATCATATTAGATCAATTCTGATAGACAAATAAGCCGTAGAGTTGATATATAAGCGTAATAATGAAGTGATTTCTCCTGCACTCTCTGGAGCGGGAGCACTGCCGAGCATTCCCATATGGTTCCTGGTTGTCTCTAAGTCTACGGATAAGCTCCGCCTACTGTTTTATGATGCCAAATAGTCAGTTATTATATTAGAAAGAATAATGCAAGAAAAAGCGATAAAAAACAAGGAAAAAACTCCAAAAAATATACGTGCCGTGAGCAGACTCGCCACCCATATCACCGTCACCATACCTGATATAAATGACTATAATTTCTCATAGAAACGTTGTAGAACATTCATTCTGGTACCATTGTGTTGCCAAAGAGTTAAGCTATTTTTCGGTATATATAACTCAATTTCCATAATTTTTCGATTTTTGGGTGAGCGCGCGTGGAAATTTGCCCTACTGGCGACTTATCCCCCTATAATTTTTGCACTCTCTTTTGTCCCCTTTGCCTTTATACAAAGGAACTATGCATGCTCTCTGCCAATCCCTAGGTACCTTACCCTCTTCCATACATTTATTAAATAATAGCACCAACCACTCCAAAACTATATCCCCACCTGCTTTTAACATTTCTATCTTTATCCCATCAATCCCAGCTGCCTTACCCCCTTTCATTTTACCTACTACCTCACGAACTTCCCCCACACTCACAACTGGCTCTTCCTCACTCCTACAAGATGTTATTCCTCCTTGCCCTATACACGAAATCACAGCTTCCCTATCTTCATCAACATTCAACAATTCCTCAAAATATTCCCTCCATCTTCCCAATACCTCTAACTCTCCATTTAATAACTCTCCTCTCCTATTTTTAACTGACAAATCCATTTGTTCTCTAGGCTTCCTTAACATGTTAATCTCACTCCAAAACTTTTTCTTATTTTCAACAAAATTTGTTGATAACATCTTACCCACTCTCATTTGCTCTCTTTTTACATTGCTTCACCACTCTCATAACCTCTCTCTTTTTCTCAATATACTCTTCCCTCCTTGCATCACTTCTACTTTGTAAAAACTTCTCATATGCTAACTTTTTCTCCCTTACTACTCTCTTTACATCATCATTCCACCAATCGCTCCTCTTCCCTCCCGCACCCACTTTCCTGTAACCACAAACTTCTGCTGAACACTCTAACACTACATTTTTAAACCTACCCCATACCTCTTCGACCCCATTGCCTATGCTCTCATTAGCCCATCTATCCTCCAATAGTTGTTTATATCTTACCTTAACTGCCTCCTCTTGTAGTTTATAAACCTTCACCTCTCTCTTACCTGATGCTTCTATTCTCCTTGTATCCCATCTACCTTTTACTCTCAGTGTAGCTACAACTGAAAAGTGATCTGATATATCTCTGGCCCCTCTATAAACATGTACATCCTGAAGTCATTTATCTACCAATACATAATCCAACAATAATTGCCCTACATCATATCTTGTATACTTATTTATCCTCTTTTTGTTAAAATATGTATTACCTATCACTAAACCCCTTTCTATACAAAGTTCAATCAAAGGGCTCTCATTATCATTTACACCTGGCACCCCAAACTTACCTACCACACCCTCTAAAAGTTTCTCCTACTTTAGCATTCAGGTCCCCTACCACAATTACTCTCTCACTTGGTTCAAAGGTTCCTATACATTCACTTAACATCTCCCAAAATCTCTCTCTCTCCTCTACATTCCTCTCTTCTCCAGGTGCATACACGCTTATTATGACCCACTTTTCGCATCCAACCTTTACGTTAATCCACATAATCCTTGAATTTACACATTCATATTTTCTTTTCTCCTTCCATAACTGATCCTTCAACATTATTGCTACCCCTTCCTTAGCTCTAACTCTCTCAGATACTCCAGATTTAATCCCATTTATTTCCCCCACCGAAACTCCCCTACCCCCTTCAGCTTTGTTTCGCTTAGGGCCAGGACATCCAACTTCTTTTCATTCATAACATTAGCAATCATCTGTTTCTTATCATCCGCACTGCATCCACGCACATTCAAGCATCCCAGTTTTATAAAGTTTTTCTTCTTCTCTTTTTTAGTTAATGTTTACACGAGAAGGGGTTACTAGCCCATTGCTCCCGGCATTTTAGTTGCCTCATACGACACACATGGCTTACGGAGGAAAGATTCTTTTCCACTTCCCCATGGACAATAGAAGAAATAAAGAAGAACAAGAGCTATTTAGAAAAAGGAGAAAAAACCTAGATGTATGTATATATATACAGTGGACCCCCGCATAACGATCACCTCCGAATGCGACCAATTATGTAAGTGTATTTATGTAAGTGCATTTGTACGTGTATGTTTGGGGGTCTGAAATGGACTAATCTACTTCACAATATTCCTTATGGGAACAAATGTCGGTCAGTACTGGCACCTGAACATACTTCTGGAGTGAAAAAATATCGTTAACCGGGGGTCCACTGTATATGCATGTGCGTGTCTGTGAAGTGTGACCAAACTGTAAGTAGTAGCAAGATATCCCTGTTATCTAGTGTGTTTATGAGACAGAAAAGGACACTAGCAATCCTACCACCATGTAAAACAGTTACAGGTTTCTGTTTCACAGTCATCTGGCAGGACGGTAGTACTTCCCTGGGAGATTGCTGTCTACCAACCTACTACCTACAAGAACAAGAACTAGTAAGAAAATAAAAGAAAACCCAGAGGGGTGTGTATATATATGCTTGTACATGCATGCATAGTGTGACCTAAGTGTAAGTAGAAGTAGCAAGATGTACCTGAAATCTTGCATGTTTCTGAAACAGAAAAAAGACACCAGCAATCCTACCATCATGTAAAACAATTACAGGCTTTCGTTTTACACTCACGTGGCAGGATGGTAGTAGTACCGCCCTTGGTGGTTGCTGTCTACCAACCTACTACTCAGAATGAATCAGTGTTATGTTGTATTATTGTCACAGTACTTTAGATTTCTTGTAATAAGGCAGTGTATACACTAAATATAGCCTCTGAAACATGCACAGCAATAAAACACACATGCCATCACTCCTGTTGAGATAATACTTGTGATATGATTGGGACAATTAACCTGCACATAGGAGAAAGAAACTTATGACATTTCAGTCCAACTTCCACCATTAATTAGTCACATAGTCATCATAAGTTTCTTTCTCCTATGTGTAAGTTATTTGTATTGTTCCAGCCACAGTATTGTACCTCTTTATTCCTTAATGGGACTTGCATTAAACTTGTGTTCCATGTGGAAACTTGCTTCTTAATATTCCTCTGTTCCATAGGGAAGAGACTGTACCAGTTGAAGTGATCAGAAGACGAGAGAAAAAATGGCTGGAGATGTTCAGCAACTGGGACTCTCACATGCTCAAAAAATACAAGAAAGTACGCGACCGCTGCCGCAAGGGCATTCCATCGGCATTGCGTGCACGAGGCTGGCAACACCTGTGTGGTGCACACAAGTGAGTTTTGTTGTGCATTGATCATATGCTCCCCTTTTTTATTCCATTGAAGAGGTAAATATTTTATATGAATTGATATGCATAACAATACCACAGTGAAAATAGGAAATAAACCTGAGTGGTTTCATGTTCTTACACATACATCTTCAGAGGAATAAGAAGAGGTAGGAGAAGCACATTCTATGTTACAATGAAATGACACCTCACTCAGAGAAGGTGACAGTGCCTCACACAAACCCATCCTATGCATAAATTTGTTCAACATAAAGCTAAATTGTTTGTCTGACAAAGAACACACACTGTATTTTTGTGAAAAATATTTTTACCATTAAGATTATGAACAGTATTCTGGACTCTAAAATTATCAAGTGTTTGATGTACCGAATATATGGTAACAAATGATCTTTGTAGATGAATGGTTCAGAGAACCGACATGTTGATAAATTAGACACATGTGCAACTCTTGGGTATCTTTATCAATAAAGATACCCAAGAGTTGCACATGTGTCTAATTTATCAACAAATGATCTATTTTACAGTCTTCATATAACATAAATATTTTGTTTCATAAATGCTGTCCATAGTTGCATGGATTATAGTGAATTTATGGAGTATGGAGCACATAGTTCTGGACAAACAAACTTACGCAAACTATTAGTGAAATTAGTTTGAAAGTGATACTGAGAAATATTTGCAAGGCCTTCCTCAGCAACCTTCTCGTCAGTGACACAAATGTTCCCACATTGTAGTAATAAAGTGGAAGATTGGTACTGTATATTGTAGCCTCACATTGAGGCCCTATTCTGTAAACTTCAGTTTGCTGAGGAAAACAGTTTTAATGAAGCCACAGTATACTGTATGGTAATCTTATTTTTTGTTTTTTTTTAGTTTCATCATGTGGGTTATTTGTGCCATTGACCTGTGTTTATTATACTTTTGCTTCTTAAAACTCTTTCAAATATTTTGATAATGTGGGATGTGAGTGCTACCAGTCTATGTTTTTTTGCAATTGCTTTGCTGTCACCATGTGGAGTGGGATTATATCTGTAGTTTTTAATGATAGTGGGGTGAGTTTTGTGTCCAGACTCCATCTTTATAGGATATTAAGGCGAATGATTTTAATTTCTAATGAATATGTAGTGCATGGGCATGCTATCAATGGCTTCTTTGATGTTGAGTGAGTTTAGAGTAATGTCAGACATTCTGGAGTTTTAAGTCTCATTCAGTCAGATTAATGGATTACTTAATACACATTCATATTATGACTTAAGTCTTTTACTCATTACTTTGTTGTCATCAGTGTAAGTCCTGTCTCCTTTAAACAAGGGCCTAATATTGGATGTAGTTCTTGCCCTAGATTTTGAATATGAGAAAGTGTTTTGAGGCTCTTTCAATTTCATTAATGGCTGTTTGATTCCTCTTTCTTTTCTGGACTCTGTATGATGTATTCAGTTATAGCTTGGTGTTCCCCATCTCTCTAACCAGTACACTATATTGTTACTACTTCCAGTGCTAAAACTTCTCTGTGCTCTCTTTTTCTTTTACACAGGTTCTGCAGGGTTAGGTTAGGGTTCTTAACTTTATTTACAAGCTATGATCTGTTACCTACATCAGCTCATTTGAAAGCCTTTTTATTGTTAAGAGATATACAAGTAGTAAATAGAATGAAGTTGAAGCTATCTGTGGGCCAGCAGTTTCATTTGATCAACTAATTTTGTTTCAATGAGCCACATCAAATTTGTGTTTTATTCTTTCCTTATTCTTTTCTGTTGATTATTTGCTGTTACCTTTGGTTCTCATTCACCCAACAGACAGTTAGAGAGAAATCCTGGAGCATTTGAGCAACTTGCTGAAGCTCCTGCTGATCCCAGACTGGAAGATGATATCAGAAAGGACTTGCATCGGCAGTTTCCTCTCCATGAGATGTTCCTCCAGAAAGGAGGTCATGGGTGAGTTGGCACACTTTATGTAAAATTATCTTCAGTAACACTTGCTTGCCTGCCTGACTCAATTTTAGTTTTTATTGTTGAAGAGAATTAAATTTGTTGCTGAAGGAAATTAAATTGAAAATGAAGTCTCTTATACAGTATGCCTTTTTTTTATAACACTGGCCATCTCCCACTGAGGTAGAGTTGCACACAGTATGTATGTTGGTTTATAAAGTAAGGAATCAGCAAGGAAGTTTTTTTTTATTAACAGAGGAGCTTTATCAAAATCATAGAGCTCCTGTGTGTATGTATGAAACCTTATTTATTCACAAGGGTTCCATACTGCTGTGTTTTGTGTGTCCATTATGTTGGTAAATTGTACCTATGCTTTCATAGTATGTAGCACATCATCCCTCTCTTAAAATCTTTGGTATTGTTATCTTTGGGGAGAGCCTTGTGTAGAATCTTCTTCAGTCATGTAGCTTGCTGGTATAAATATTTCAAGGAAGGCTATAAACTCTTGTTGAAAAAATCCTACTGGTTGTTAAGTAAAAGAATATAAGTGCAACTGGTTGTGTGGCTATCTTCCAGATAATACAGATAGCACTTGTACTCTGAAGCATGAATTTGTTTACCTGTCTGTGATAGCCTATTTATATAGTATTTGATAGGAGTGAATGGAGACAAATGGTTTTTAATACTTGACGTGCTGTTGGAGTGTGAGCAAAGTAACATTTATGAAGGGGTTTAGGGAAACCGGCAGGCCGGACTTGAGTCCTGGAGATGGGAAGTACAGTGCCTGCACTCTGAAGGAGGGGTGTTAACGTTGCAGTTTAAAAACTGTAGTGTAAAGCACCCTTCTGGCAAGACAGTGATGGAGTGAATGATGGTGAAAGTTTTTCTTTTTCGGGCCACCCTGCCTTGGTGGGAATCGGCCAGTGTGATGAAAAAAAAAAAATATTATCTGTTCTGCTTATTTGTAGCTACAGGTGTAGTGGGGTCACCTGTAGAGTGATTCTTGTCTCAGTGAATATATATTAGGCAGGAAGTAGAGTGCCTGGTGTCTAAATAAGATATTTGCTGTTTAGAGGGACATCTGAACTGTATAGTCTGTGCACCTCTGGCAAGACAGTGATAATGTGAATGATGGTTAAAGTGTTTCTTTTTTGAGGTCACCCTACCATGGTGGGAGACAGTTGGTGAATTAAAAAAAAAAGTGTACGATACATCTGGCAGTGGTGTGGCTGAGCAGGCAACACTGACATCAGCTCGAGTGTGACTTGTAGTGCCAGGATGAGTTGTGCAAGGAGGGGAAGTAAGGAATAAGATGAGGCCTTGGTGAATGGCGTTCATAAAAGTTCACAAAGGTGTTGAAGTGTGAGCATTTCAGACCATCTTGTACTGAAATATGAATATTGCAGACTTCAGCATTGATGCCACACAAATATTAAATAATTTATCATAAAAAAGGCAGCCAGAGCCTTTTTGTCAATCTATTATAATCATACCTTTTTTTTTTTTTTTAATATATTTCTTATGACTTGTTTTTATCTTGACCATTCATAGAGTTCTTAATCCAAAGCATAGGAGCTACTCTCCCCTTTCTAGGATTACATATGATTACTTCCCATGCTCCAGGCACTGTATGACTCCTGCAGGTTTAGTGCTTCCTGTGTGTTTTATAATTAATAGTAGTGTCTAGCTAATAGTATTTTGTTGTGACTACAGTACTAAGTTTAAAGGTTTTGTTTTATTTTGTACTATAGTTTTGGCTTGTGAATATTAATATGTATGACTCACAAAAGCATAATAATACAGTTGCAAACAGACCAGGGTATGGGTGGGTTAGAACCCATGGCAAGTAATAAAACTCACTTGCCATAGGTTCTAACCCCACCTGTACCGTGTTTAGTATGAATGGTTGTACAGTAAACCCTCAGTATAATGGACTAATAGGGGAGGGATGGTTTGTTTAATCAGAACAGTGTTAAAAATTAGCATCAGCAAAAAAAGAGCACTGAAGTATGTACTCTATATCTGATATACTGTAGTAGTGTACAAATAATTTACAACTACACCTACCATCCGACTTACGACCTGCTCGACTTATGACCGTGTTTTTTATGCCAAATTTCTGGGAAATAAACAACTATTTGTGTTGTACATATTGTTTATCCTAAACCTTACAGTATAAAATACAGTACTAACAACATAAAAAGTAAAGTAAAACATGAAATAACAAAATAAAACAATAAAATAAAGTCATTACAAAAATGTTTTTTTGATATTCAGTAATAAAGTTCGACTTACGACCATTTCGACTTACGACCGGTTTCTCGGAACCGAACTTGGCCATAAGTCGGATGGTAGGTGTATACTATAATAAACATTGAAAATAAAAGTTAAAAGTACAATTTTCCCAGTGGATTTTATCCATTATATATATCAAAGGTCAGGTGTATTTATTTATTTCACCACAAACCCTGAATGACCTAGGTCATTTTCTTCCAGGCAAGAAGACTTGTTTCGTGTGTTGAAGGTGCATGCACAAGTGTCCCCGGATGAGTACTGTCAGGCCCATGCTCCTCTAGCTGCTGTCCTGCTCATGCAGATGCCTGCTGAACCTGCATTCTGGTGCTTAAAATCCATCTGCGATAAATATGTTCCTGGCTACTATGCGAGAGGGCTGGTGAGTACCATGTTGGCATCCAAAATAATGGTGATGCAGACAAGCCCCAGGTCTGGCAAATGGTGTATATATGTGATATTCAAACAAAAGAAAAGCTTTTTTTGTTCTTTATAATAATGTGTGTCTGGTGGCTCGTACATCAAATGTTACCGCTGTCAACTAGCAGCTGGGCTGGTCCCAGCATGAGTAGAAACATAGAATGTGTTTCCTTACACCTGTTGACTTTATCTAGCATTAAGAAGGCCTATGAGAGGTATACAGTGGAACCTTGGCACTCGAACAGCTCCCTACTCGAACAATTCGGCTTTCGAATGCTTTGGTATAATTGCTCATGAGTCGACCATTTGCTTGGCACTTGACCAAACAAACATGACCTGCCAGAACTTCACTGTAAACTACAGCCTCTCCTCGCTTAATGACAGAGTTCTGTTCCTAATACTGCGTCAGTAAACGAATTCGTCACTAAATGAGGAGCATACTATAATGGTAGTGGGTTTATGTCAACCATCTTTGATATTGCTTTAATGTCACCTTTGCACCATTTATAACATTTTTAGTATATTTTTAAATGTTTATACAGTAGTGTACTGTATATGGTAATAAGCAGAATAGAGGAAATCAGCTCTAATATACATTATTTAGGTATGCATAATGATCAGAGAACCTGTCGTAAGCCCAAGTTGTCGGTAAACGAGTACGTCGCTAAGTGAGGAGAGGCTGTATTTTGTGTTTCTTTGCATTTCTTGGTGTTTTTTTTATTTTACAAATAAGTCACCATGGGGCCTACAAAGATTAATGATAACAGCCAACCGAAAAGAAATTGGTTGGGAAAAACTCGTTCGGTACTTTAACAGATCAGCACTCAAACATCCTTCTGGAACGAATTAGGTTTGAGTACCGAGGTTCAATTGTATTAACAAAAGACTTGTTAATATACCTCTCATAGGCCTGGGCTTTGAGATGGGCTGAAGTGGGAATAGACACTAGTAGCGGAGGATCCTTTTAATATTACTAATGAAATAATCGTGGGTTTCTGTTGGAGTGAGATGGTAGTTGCTGCTCCTGTGTACTGAACAAGGCAGCAGGTGAGGTATGAGACTGTTCATCTCTTTCATGACATTTCCTGTCTCACACAGTTATCCTCAACACTTTCTTGCCACACTATACTCTAACCAAACACCTAATAAACTCACCATAACATTGATGGAATGGTGAACAAATTTAAAATGTGTGATGTGATGGGAGTGACTAAGAGAGCCTGGTTGCCCAGGCTAGTACTAGACAAACCTGGCCCATGGCCAGGCTCCAGGAGTAGGAAGATTCTCAAAACTCATCAGAGGTTACCACCACCACCACCTACACATCCTTACCTTACTACTGTATTCTGTGTTTTACCTCTCTTATGTGGATCTATATTATTGACACCTGTGTCACCTAGATCTGCATTTTAAGCACAGTACTCTCAAATAAACTGTGAATGGTAAATTTTGTCCTAGACATAAGAGAATAGGTCTGTGCAGTTACTGTGCACAGTATAGAAAAAAAAATCCTGCCCCACACAGTGCATGATGGGGAAAAGCAAACCTCTGACCTTGTGTTTGATTTGAAATAGTGACTTTGAGGTGTTTTCTAGAATGGTTTTTATGGTTTTATTGGTTATTTCTTGGTATCAACTGATAAAATGGAAAACACACTGCCAAAATAAAGATAATTTTGGTAAGTTTCAAGACCAATAATAGTTTGAAATAAGGCTCAAATTAGCTGAAATATTCAATTTTTTACAATTTTCCTGGGAAAGGTAAGGAACCCCCCAGTCATTTTCTCTTGGTCTGCTCTCTGGGTTTTTACTAAGTTTGCGTCAGTTCCGGTCTAAATTTTAATATTAAAGAAATAAGGTACAACTTTGACATTTTTGGTATGACAGTGGATTCAAAATCATGGGCAAGTGTAACATAGTAGAGGCCCAAGGATGTAATTAATGAACAAGGGACAGGTTGCTATAGTGGCTGGAATGCATACAGTGTTTATTTTGGATTCTGTTTTTAAATTAGAATTTATTAAATTTTGTGTAAAATTGGCCTAGTTACCAACTTTTGTACACTTTATAAGGTAGTTTTGATAGTTGAATAGATGGTTTATTGTACTTGATCAATAGAACAGAAGACATACTAGGAAAATCACTTAAGAATTTGGACAAATTGAAAAAGGGAATTTGGCTTGAAATAGAACTCAAAGTGAGCAATATTGCTCAGATGTTGCACATGTGTCTAATTTATCAACTTGTCGGTTCTCTGAACCATTCATCTACATTCCTGTCTGACACAGCAACATCTTGGGATCTTAATACAGGGAATTCTTCACTTGCCTAACCCTTGGGCATGACCTACTTCCACATTGGACAAATGTGATACCACCTGTGACTGCTGCACCTCTCCTACCTACAGTATATAAGCTACTTTTTGCAGATATGCTGTATTCTTTTCAAGATTGATGGACTGACCACATAGACTCAAGGCTGAGGGACTGATTACCTCAGTCTCCTCCTGTTCTTCACCATTCTCTTTTGTATGGACTGATGAAGCCACTGTGTGGCAAAACGTTTCCTCATTAAAGATACCCAAGTGTTGCACATGTGTCTAATTTATCAACTTGTCGGTTCTCTGAACCATTCATCTACATGCCTGTATATAAATTACTACCAGGCAGCCAACATTGTGCCTGCATAATCCCATAAGTTTTCTGTTTGTATTTTTGGTGGCATTACCTTCAGTAAAAGATTTTCTGCCATTTCAGATTTTGTTTTTTAAATCTTGACATTACCAGCGCTTTTAATTTTGAGGGGTCCCAACAGTGAAAGGGTTAATTAAACAGTGCTTAATATTTATATGTGACACAGAAAACTGTAGTACTGAATGGAAAACACTGAATGTTATTCTTAGTTAAAAAATAACTGAAATTAAATATGGAATACTCTGACTCAAGAACACATCTTCATTATAACATAAGTGTCTGTGAGAAAATAGGTTTCCATTTACAAGCAATTTTCAGGAACATATCTTCATTTACAAAGTATCAGTTACAATTTTCAGGAATGATACAGTGGTACCCCGGGTTTCGAACTTTTTTCGTTCCAGAAGGCTGTTCAAGTGCCGTTACCGAACAAATTTATTCCCATAAAGAATCATGTAAATTAGATTAGTCCATTTCAGACCCCCAAAATTACACTTACAATAATACACTTAAATAATTGGTCGAGTTGGGAACAGTTCGAAATTCGGGGTTCCACTGTATTATGTTGTAAGTGGGGGACCTACTGTTCTCTGTGACTGTAGCAAGGAAGTTGAGATAGTGAGCCATGGTCAAGAGTATAACTCACGAAATCGTAATGACACGATTGCAAACAAACCATACCATGGGCCAGGATTCGGATTTCAGTAAGGCTCTTAATAACAGTTCCATATAAAAGACTTCTAAGGAAAGTGGCAGCACATGGTAGTGAAGGAAAAGTTCTCTCATTGATTGAAGCATGGCTGAGAAATAGGTATCAAAGAATTTGTATCATTAGGGTGAAGTAAGAATGACAACCACTCACAATAGTTCCAAAAGGAGCAGTGTGGGAAATGCAAAGTCAGTTTATGTATCGTATTGGTCAACAATACCTGTCATGCTGGTCAACAATACCTGTCATACTGGTCAACAGCACCTGTCATACTGGTCAACAATACATGCCATAATGGTTAATACCTGTCATACTAGTTAATAACACCTGCAATACTGGTCAACAGCACCTGTCATACTGGTCAACAGTGCCTGTCATACTGGTTAACAGTACCTGTCATACTGGTGGTCAACAATGCCTGTCATAATAGTCAACAATACCTGTCATACTGGTGGTCAACAATACCTGTCATACTTGTGGTCAACAATACCAGGTCACTCAATTTGTAGCTCCTATCGTAGGTAACATTTATATGCTGGGGAAGAGCTCATAATTGAAGGAAATTAACCCCTCTCTTGGATCAAACTTTGGAACCTCCCAATCCCCAGATGCTGTGTGACCCTTACAGGTTTAGTGCTTCCCAATGAACATCATAATGATAATCTGAAAGTTGGTGGTAATTATTATTTCAGTGTTATAAGTGATGATGATAGTGATAATCTTATTTTTTCTTGCTTCCAGGAAGCCATTCAAATTGACGGAGATATTTTATACAAACTGTTGAAGAAAGTGTCACCTTCGGCTTATAAACATCTGGTGAGTTCACATTCATTTATAAATTGTAATGTGTAACCCTATAAAGATCTGGTGAGTTCATTTTCACGCATAAACTATAATGTATAATGCCACGAACATTTGGTGAGTTCATATTCATGTATAAACTGTGATGTATAGACTTGTATTGTTTTGCCATACTTTTCAACAGAGTACGTTGAAAAACTTGTTTATAAATTATTTAACTTTACTCTATAAATTATTTAGCTTTACAATACAGAATGGAGAGTGTACTGAGACCTTTCACCACAGGTCAAGCACCTAATGGTCAAGCACCTCTGGAAATATAAACACATATGCAGTATAATGTGATCCTTTATTGACTACGTTTCGCCCACACAGTGGGCTTTTTCAAGTCACAAACAGAACTGTTTGTGACTTGAAAAAGCCCACTGTGTGGGCGAAACGTAGTCAATAAAGGATCACATTATACTGCATATGTGTTTATATTTCCATTGTGTCAGTATTTTATACCATTTATTTACATAATCCTCTGCTCCTGTTTTGTGTATCTGGACCTCAGATGTTATGTTTTTCTGAGTTTACATGGTAGTGATCATTTTTCTTTTCTGGTGTTGGTAGGAGCCTGTCCTCCACTTTGCCCTCTTTGGTGTATCTGGAGGTGGCAGACTGGTGACTTTTTAAGTCTCAGGCAGATATCTCATATCTTTGGTGATTTTTGTAATGTGCAGAGGGCTTAGGATCATTTTATTATTGTTATTATGGGGATAGCAATAACTTTTTCAATCAAGTGGTTTTGGGTTCCATCTGCCAATCCATTGATGGAAGGACTATGAGAGGCACTGCCAGATGCTGCATGCAGCCTATCATTACCTCAGAGACCACTCTATGTTGGTTAATGAGCTCACATATCAGCAGGTGGTGGCCTTCAATAGGCATACATCCTTGGGTCCACCACACAGAGAGAAGGTCATTATCATCACTCCTCTCAGATGGTTACGGAATAAGATGAAAAAATAGTTTTATTTCATGTCCTCTCACAGTTAAAGGGTTAATGGTATTTGGACAGTGAAGTGCTTGCCCACAGTTGATGGCAGTCTGTGGTTCTGGCTATTTCCAGGCCAGGACTTCACAAAAGCTGCATACCATCAGACCTCGTTAATGAGCTGCATCTGCAAGTTGTTGGAAAGTATGTTGAATGTTCATCTGGTCTGGCACTTAGAGACAAAAAACTACATCTCATCAGTGTCAATGGCTTTTGCAAGTTCTGGCCAGTGACTTATTCTTTGGTTTGGTTTGTTTCTGACGTCCAGATGAAATTTGCTAGATGTCTTCATACTTTGCCAGTCTTCTTCAACCTGGAGAAAATCTAGAAAATAATGTGAAGGTTTTGCAGTCTGTATTGTGTCCAGGCTCAGGGATTGTAGGGCAGTCTTTTGATTTCTCCACCAGTTTCTGAGTAACAGATCATGGCATGGTCCAGTAGGCCTGCCTCAGTGCTCCTTCTTTCTATGTTCAAAGTAAGGGTTGGTTTGTTGTTCCTACAGTTTTTCCTGGAAAAAGGGGGTTCCACAAGGCAGTATTTTGAGCATCAGATGTTTACTATAGCCATGTATGGTGTATTGTTGTCTCCTTGTGTGTGGACAGTCTTACAGTGTACCGCTCAGCATCTACTCCTGGAGTGGCCAGTCATGAGCATCCAGTGGCAGTAGACAGCACTGTGGAGTGGGTTTCTTCTAACCAGTTTTCCACTTGGAAGATGGTAGCTGTTTATTTTACATAGTTTGACAACCTGCTCCTATGTGATACTCTATTGTGCGGTTCATCATTATGACCACCATGTTACATTTTTGGGAATGATCTTTGTCTGGGGACTGACATGGACCTTTCATATATAGAGACTAAAATTAAATGCTCCCACCATGCCTAAGGATAGATCAGTGGACCATGTTTCACCCATATGTGGCCTTGTGCCATTTCATTCTGGAGAATGGTTACCAGATGGGCTCCTAGGGTACCTCTTCCTTGTGGGACTTCCTCGATCCTATTCATCACCTAGGATACAGCTTTGCTTGTGATAAGTCCATACTTTCACTTTTGAAAGCATTTAAGAACATAAGAACATAATGTAGGAACACTGCAGAAGGCCTACTGGCCCATACGAGGCAGGTCCTTATCAAAACGACATCTACCTAAAGCTACTCAAGAAATAACTCCCGTACCCCTTGACACCAATCAAACCCAGCCCCTCCCACTCATATATTTGTCCAGTCTCTTCTTAAAGCTACCCAAGGTCCTAACCTCTATCACCCCACTGGGAAGACTGTTCCACGCATCTACAACTCTGTTAGAAAACCAGTACTTACCTATGTCCTTTCTAAATCTAAATTTATCCAACTTAAATCCATTATTCCTGGTTCTTACCTGGTTCGACACCCTCAGTACTTTATTAATGTCTCCCTTGTTTATGCCCGTCATCCACTTATACACTTCAATGTTGAGTCTGGTGAGATTTCCCCGGATTTCTGCTGTGAGGAGCTAGGACTGTACTATGTGTTTTGGGTTTGGCATCTACTTGACAATCCAGCTTATGCTGAAGTCTTGACAGAGAAAAGAGGGAGAGGAAAAGCTCTTTGCTAATAATGCAAGGCTTCCTGTTTCATTTGGTGTTGGATGCTAGCTATTCTCCTGGACTGTGACCTCAGTGTGTCTGTGGTCAGAGAGATTGGCTTCTCCCCCTACCTTCCTTAGCCCTTTAGCTGACTGTGCCATAGTACTACGGCTTTGAGGTCACGGTCAGTGCCATAGCACTGACAGAGCCATGAGCTTAGCTTATGGCCTAGATATGAAAAATGAGTCTGTGTGATAAGTGTGCATCATATAAAAAATCCTGCAGCATGCAGTGCATAATGAGAGAAAAACAAGAGATCATGTTTTTGGTTTAAAACAGCGACTTTGCAGTGTGTTTTCATGTGGTTTTTATGGTTGGATTCTGGGTTTCTTGGTATCATTTGATAGAATGGAAGATATATTATAGAAGTAGCAATGATTTTGATTGGTTTTGGAACTGAAAATAGCTTGAAATTGAGCTCAAATTAGTGAAAATGTTTGATTTTTGCCGATGTTTGAAAATAAACAAATCACGTCATACGTCTGGTACACGTCAACTGGTGGGTCTGATATGCATTCACAAATGCACTTATATTATTTATACAATTATTACAATAATGCATAACAGTAAATCTTTATTTTTTGCGTGAATAAAAATTCTGTGTGAATCAAAATAAAAATGGAATTCATGTGTAAAGCCTGTGAATGTAACTAATGAACAGAGGAAATGTTATTTTAGTGCCAGGAATGCCAGTATTATTTATTCTAAACCCTATTTTGAAATAGGAATATTCTAAAATTTGTGTGAAATTGGCCAAATTACCAATTTCTGATCACTTTATTGGGTAGTTGAAATAGTTGATTGGGTCATTTGTTGTGCTCAGTCGATAAAATGAAAGACATGCTAGTGAAATAGCTAAGAGTTTCGTTGACTGGCACAGAGTAGTGGGCAAAAATCACTGTTGCATAAATGTTGCTGGTGCAGCAAAATTTGTGAAAGCATAATTTCATAAATTTTTCCATCAATTTTCGTACCGTTTGTTTTATTACCTTCAGAAAAAGATTCTCTACTATTTCATAAGAAAAAATAATTTTTTTTTTTTGAAAATTTTTGGACATTATGGACAAGTTTCAGATTGGGGGTCTGGACATTTAACCCGTAAACGGTCCAAGCAGATCTAAGTTCACATGTGTAGTGCTACAAAAGTAGATCTACATTTTTTTTACATTTTTTTTTTTTTTTTTTCAACAAGTCGGCCGTCTCCCACCGAGGCAGGGTGACCCAAAAAAGAAAGAAAATCCCCAAAAAGAAAATACTTTCATCATCATTCAACACTTTCACCACACTCGCACATTATCACTGTTTTTGCAGAGGTGCTCAGAATACAACAGTCTAGAAGCATACACATATAAAGATTCACAACATATCCCTCCAAACTGCCAATATCCCAAACCCCTCCTTTAAAGTGCAGGCATTGTACTTCCCATTTCCAGGACTCAAGTCCGACTATATGAAAATAACCGGTTCCCCTGAATCCCTTCACTAAATATTACCCTGCTCACACTCCAACAGATCGTCAGGTCCCAAGTACCATTCGTCTCCATTCACTCCTATCTAACATGCTCACGCACGCTTGCTGGAAGTCCGAGCCCCTTGCCCACAAAACCTCCTTTACCCCCTCTCGCCAACCCTTTCGAGGACGACCCCTACCCCACCTTCCTTCCCCTATAGATTTATATGCTTTCCATGTCATTCTACTTTGATCCATTCTCTCTAAATGACCAAACCACCTCAACAACCCCTCTTCTGCCCTCTGACTAATACTTTTATTAACTCCACACCTTTTCCTAATTTCCACACTCTGAATTTTCTGCATAATATTTACACCACACATTGCCCTTAAACAGGACATCTCCACTGCCTCCAACCGTCTCCTCGCTGCTGCATTTACCACCCAAGCTTCACACCCATATAAGAGTGTTGGTACTACTATACTTTCATACATTCCCTTCTTTGCCTCCATAGATAACGTTTTTTGACTCCACATATACCTCAACGCACCACTCACCTTTTTTCCCTCATCAATTCTATGATTAACCTCATCCTTCATAAATCCATCCGCCGACACGTCAACTCCCAAGTATCTGAAAACATTCACTTCTTCCATACTCCTCCTCCCCAATTTGATATCCAATTTTTCTTTATCTAAATCATTTGATACCCTCATCACCTTACTCTTTTCTATGTTCACTTTCAACTTTCTACCTTTACACACATTCCCAAACTCATCCACTAACCTTTGCAATTTTTCTTTAGAATCTCCCATAAGCACAGTATCATCAGCAAAAAGTAACTGTGTCAATTCCCATTTTGAATTTGATTCCCCAAAATTTAATCCCACCCCTCTCCCGAACACCCTAGCATTTACTTCCTTTACAACCCCATCTATAAATATATTAAACAACCATGGTGACATTACACATCCCTGTCTAAGACCTACTTTTACCGGGAAGTAGTCTCCCTCTCTTCTACACACCCTAACCTGAGCCTCACTATCCTCATAAAAACTCTTTACAGCATTTAATAACTTACCACCTATTCCATATACTTGCAACATCTGCCACATTGCTCCTCTACCCACTCTATCATATGCCTTTTCTAAATCCATAAATGCAATTAAAACTTCCCTACCTTTTTCTAAATACTGTTCACATATATGCTTCAATGTAAACACTTGATCTACACATCCCCTACCCACTCTGAAACGTCCTTGCTCATCCGCAATCCTACATTCTGTCTTACCTCTAATTCTTTCAATTATAACCCTACCGTACACTTTTCCTGGTATACTCAGTAAGCTTATTCCTCTATAATTTTTACAGTCTCTTTTGTCCCCTTTCCCTTTATATAAAGGGACTATGCATGCTCTCTGCCAATCCCTAGGTACCTTCCCCTCTTTCATACATTTATTAAACAAAAGTACCAACCACTCCAACACTATATCCCCCCCTGCTTTTAACATTTCTGTCATGATCCCATCAGTTTCCAGCTGCTTTAACCCCCTTTCGTTTTACGTAATGCCTCACGTACCTCCCCCACACTTACATTCTGCTCTTCTTCACTCCTAAAAGATGGTATACCTCCCTGACCAGTGCATGAAATTACTGCCTCTGTTTCTTCCTTAACATTTAAAAGTTCCTCAAATATTCTCGCCATCTACCTAATACCTCCATCTCCCCATCTACTAACTCCCCTACTCTGTTTTTAACTGACAAATCCATACTTTCCCTAGGCTTTCTTAACTTGTTTAACTCACTCCAAATTTTTTCTTATTTTCATTAAAATTTCTTGACAGTGCCTCTCCCACTCTATCATCTGCTCTCCTTTTGCACTCTCTCACCACTCTCTTTACCTTTCTTTTACTCTCCATATACTCTGCTCTTCTTATAACACTTCTGCTTTGTAAAAACCTCTCATAAGCTACCTTTTTCTCTTTTATCACACCCTTTACTTCATCATTCCACCAATCACTCCTCTTTCCTCCTGCCCCCACCCTCCTATAACCACAAACTTCTGCCCCACATTCTAATACTGCATTTTTAAAACTATTCCAACCCTCTTCAACCCCCCCACTACTCATCTTTGCACTAGCCCACCTTTCTGCCAATAATCGCTTATATCTCACCTGAACTTCCTCCTCCCTTAGTTTATACACTTTCACCTCCCTCTTACATATTTTCAAATATAACAAAAAAAACAGTAGATCAAAGTTTTTTTACACATTTTCAAATGTAAAAAAACAAAAAGAAGATCTACTTTTTTACATACTTTCAAATGTTGAAAAAACGTATACATACGTTTGGACCATTTACGGGTTAAAGGGTTAGATATTGTATGAGGTTCTTTATATTCAGTGGATAAGAACCCCGAGTGTTTCCATTCCAACATTGCTTCAAGGTGGTGATATATTCCAACCATTATTTTCCATTCTTTTTCTCTTCCTGAGCCCAAAAAACCTATGCAGTTTGTGTGGTTTTAATTGTCAAGTTCATTTTGACATTCATGCGACTTAACTCGCCTCATTCCAGTCATGTGGAATGGTGGACATTTTGTGTCATAGCATTGTTCTTGTTTATTGAATTTTAATACCATTTTGGGTAAAATACTGTATTTGCAGATCTTGGAACATATTCCTATATTTAGGAGATTACAACTTTTTTGGGGGCGGATATTTGTATAAAACCTAGGTAGTAGGTTCGTAGACAGCAGTTGCCCAGGGAGGTACTACCATCCTGCCAAGTGGGTGTAAAACAGAAGCCTGTAATTGTTTTACATGATGGTAGGATTACTGGTGTCTTTTTTCTGTCTCAGAAACATGCAAGATTTCAGGTACATCTTGCTACTTCTACTTACACTTAGGTCACACTACATATGCATGTACAAGCATATATTTACACACCCCTATGGGTTTTCTTCTATTTTCTTACTAGCTCTTGTTCTTGTTTATTTCCTCTTATCTCCATGGGGAAGTGGAACAGAATTCTTCCTCCGTCACCTATGTGTGCCGTAAGATGCAACAAAAATGCCGGGAGCAAGGCTAGTAACTCCTTCTCCTGTATATACAGTGGACCCCCGGTTAAAGATATTTTTTCACTCCAGAAGTATGTTCAGGTGCCAGTACTGACCGAATTTATTCCCATAAGGAATATTGTGAAGTAGATTAGTCCATTTCAGACCCCCAAACATACACGTACAAACGCACTTACATAAATACACTTACATAATTGGTCGCATTTGGAGGTAATCGTTATGCGGGGGTCCACTGTATTACTAAATGTAAAAGGAGAAACTATTGTTTTTCCTTTTGGGCCACCCTGCCTCAGTGGGATATGGCCAGTGTGTTGAGAGAAAGGACGATTTGTATAAACGTCTTCCATTCATATTTAAATGAAGTATACATTTTTTCTGTATTTCTTAAGGGTTTTTAGTCCTGTGGTATTTGCTTTTCAACTTAGGAAGCTTGGTCTTGAGACTGAGCTGCAAGGACGATGATCCCTTGAAACATTAACAAATGTAACATTATCAGATGTTTAGTAAATAGCTTACAAGAAATGGGCTAATTAGAGGGTCTTTTAAGATCTGTGGTATGTAGAGTTTGTCAGTTTTAGAGAATAATAAAATTACAGGTGGCGTCTCCTCAGAGATGGCACATTATTACTGTAACTGGTATAGTTATGTGAGCTGCTAGATTTTATGACTCTAGTTGGATTTTGTCAAAGTAATTTTTTTCTTGTTTGTTGCAGAAGAAGCATAAAATTGAGCCAGTGCTGTACATGACAGAATGGTTCATGTGCCTCTTCTCACGAACTCTACCCTGGTCCTCAGTTCTTAGAGTGTGGGACATGTTCTTCTGTGAAGGTAAGTCACAACATGATCCTCTCCTCTTCACAATCTTTACTAATTACAACTTATCCACACATTGGTAATCAAACTAGGTAATATTTTTGTCTATTACGGAGAGTTATTAAGTTGAGAGAGACTGGTCCAGAGTCAACTGAAATGACCTTTAGTTTCATCTCTTAATTTATGGGTTAATAAATATGATACATTTGCAACACTTGGCCATTTTTATTACCAGAACATTTTGCCTGTGTGAGTTTCTCTCTTAAAATTATTTGAGTGTGCCTCTTCTGAAAACTTTCAATCTTTAGCCCTTTCAGGGTCGGTCCCATATATGTACAGCTTGAGAGCCAGTGTCGGTCCCATATTTATACGCCAAAATTCTAGCACCTTGAAATCTGGTGGAAGAAAGCTGGTAGGCTTTTACTGGCACTAGGACCAGCTTGAGAGTCACTGTACCCCTGTTGCACAAAAAATCTGTCCAGAGAGCTCTGTTTCTGGCATCTCATTAACCCTTTGACTGATTCAGTCATATATACACGTCTTACGAGCCAGTGTGTTTGACGTATATATACTCAAAAATTCTAGCGCCTTCAAATCAAGCAGGAGAAAGCAGGTAGGCCCACACATGAGAGAATGGGTCTGTGTGGTCAGTGTGCGCAATATAAAAAAAATCCTGCAGCATGCAGTGCATAATTAGAAAAAAAAACTCCGATGTGTTTTTGGATTAAAACACTGACTCTGAGGTGTATTTTCTTATAGTATTTATGGTTGTATTCTTGTTTTCTTGATTGCATTTGATAGAATGGAAACCATATTATAGAAGTGATTTTGATTGGTTTTACTATGAAAAGGATCATGAAATGGAGCTCAAAGTATCAGGAATGTTTGATTTTTGCCCATGTCCAATAAATGTTCAACTAGCCATTCTAATACACGGTCATGAATGGGCTGACGTCATTTTTTTTTTTTTTTTAACAAGTCGGCTGTCTCCCACCGAGGCAGGGTGACCCAAAAAAGAAAGAAAATACTTTCATCATCATTCAACACTTTCAGCACACTCACACATAATCACTGTTTTTGCAGAGGTGCTCAGAACACAACAGCTTAGAAGCATATACCTATAAAGATACACAACATTGCCCCCCTATCCACCCTGTCATTCGCCTTTTCCAAATCCATAAATGCCACAAAGACCTCTTTAGCCTTATCTAAATACTGTTCACTTATATGTTTCACGGACCAGGTGTTTACAGTGAAACATATAAGTGAACAGTATTTAGATAAGGCTAAAGAGGTCTTTGTGGCATTTATGGATTTGGAAAAGGCGTATGACAGGGTGGATAGGGGGGCAATGTGGCAGATGTTGCAGGTGTATGGTGTAGGAGGTAGGTTACTGAAAGCAGTGAAGAGTTTTTACGAGGATAGTGAGGCTCAAGTTAGAGTATGTAGGAAAGAGGGAGATTATTTCCCAGTAAAAGTAGGCCTTAGACAAGGATGTGTGATGTCACCGTGGTTGTTTAATATATTTATAGATGGGGTAGTAAGAGAAGTAAATACGAGGGTCTTGGCAAGAGGCGTGGAGTTAAAAGATAAAGAATCACACATAAAGTGGGAGTTGTCACAGTTGCTCTTTGCTGATGACACCATGCTCTTGGGAGATTCTGAAGAAAAGTTGCAGAGATTGGTGGATGAATTTGGTAGGGTGTGCAAAAGAAGAAAATTAAAAGTGAATACAGGAAAGAGTAAGGTTATGAGGATAACAAAAAGATTAGGTGATGAAAGATTGGATATCAGATTGGAGGGAGAGAGTATGGAGGAGGTGAATGTATTCAGATATTTGGGAGTGGACGTGTCAGCTGATGGGTCTATGAAAGATGAGGTGAATCATAGAATTGATGAGGGGAAAAGGGTGAGTGGTGCACTTAGGAGTCTGTGGAGACAAAGAACTTTGTCCTTGGAGGCAAAGAGGGGAATGTATGAGAGTATAGTTTTACCAACGCTCTTATATGGGTGTGAAGCATGGGTGATGAATGTTGCAGTGAGGAGAAGGCTGGAGGCAGTGGAGATGTCATGTCTGAGGGTAATGTGTGGTGTGAATATAATGCAGAGAATTCGTAGTTTGGAAGTTAGGAGGAGGTGCGGGATTACCAAAACTGTTGTCCAGAGGGCTGAGGAAGGGTTGTTGAGGTGGTTCGGACATGTGGAAAGAATGGAGTGAAACAGAGTGACTTCAAGAGCGTATCAGTCTGTAGTGGAAGGAAGGCGGGGTAGGGGTCGGCCTAGGAAAGGTTGGAGGGAGGGGGTAAAGGAGGTTTTGTGTGCGAGGGGCTTGGACTTCCAGCAGGCATGCGTGAGCGTGTTTGATAGGAGTGAATGGAGACAAATGGTTTTTAATACTTGACGTGCTGTTGGAGTGTGAGCAAAGTAACATTTATGAAGGGGTTCAGGGAAACCGGCAGGCTGAACTTGAGTCCTGGAGATGGGAAGTACAGTGCCTGCACTCTGAAGGAGGGGTGTTAATGTTGCAGTTTAAAAACTGTAGTGTAAAGCACACTTCTGGCAAGACAGTGATGGAGTGAATGATGGTGAAAGTTTTTCTTTTTCGGGCCACCCTGCCTTGGTGGGAATCGGCCAGTGTGATAATAAATAAAAAAATAATACACAACATATCCTTCCAAACTGCCAATATCCCGAACCCCTCCTTTAGAGTGCAGGCATTGTACTTCCCATTTCCAGGACTCAAGTCCGGCTATATAAAAATAACCGGTTTCCCTGAATCCCTTCACTAAATATTACCCTGCTCACACTCCAACAGATCGTCAGGTCCCAAATACCATTCGTCTCCATTCACTCCTATCTAACACGCTCACGCACTCTTGCTGGAAGTCCAGACCCCTCGCCCACAAAACCTCCTTTACCCCCTCCCTCCAACCTTTTCGAGGACGACCCCTACTCCGCCTTCCTTCCCCTACAGATTTATACGCTCTCCATGTCATTCTACTTTGATCCATTCTCTCTAAATGACCAAACCACCTCAACAACCCCTCTTCAGCCCTCTGACTAATACTTTCATTAACTCCACACCTTCTTCTAATTTCCACACTCCGAATTTTCTGCATAATATTTACACCACACATTGCCCTTAGACCGGACATCTCCACTGCCTCCAATCGCCTCCTCGCTGCTGCATTCACAACCCAAGCTTCACACCCATATAAGAGTGTTCGTACTGCTATACTTTCATACATTCCCTTCATTCTCTTCTTCTGACTTCATATATACAATTATTACAATATTGCAGTAGTCTGCATAACAGTAAATCTCTTTTTTGTGTGAATAAAAATTCAAAATAGAAAGCAAGAGTATTGTAACAGGGGCCTGGAGACGTGACTGATGAACAGAGAAAATGTTATTTTAGTGCCAGTAATTCTATTGTGTTTCTCACCTTCTTTACCAAAAGACTGGCACTCTGAACTTTCTTTGGCCCCATGGTGGCTTATTTCACAGTCGCACTCAATAAACAAGCACCAAAAACATTGGATGAATGTGCGGAGTACAGCGGACCCTCGACCAACGATATTAATCCGTTCTTGAGAGCTCATCGTTAGTTGAAATTATCGTTAGTCGAGTTAATTTTCCCCATAAATAATGGAAATCAAATTAATCCGTTCCTGACACCCCAAAGTATTGAAAAAAAAAAAATTTTTACCACATGAAATATTAATTTTAATGCACACAAACTGAAGAAGACATGTACAGTTACATGACACTTACCTTTATTGAAGATCTGGTGATGATTGATGGGATGGGAGGAGGGGAGAGTGTGGATGGTGTTAGTGTTTAGAAGGGGAATCCCCTTCCATTAGGACTTGAGGTGTCAAGTCCTTTTCCGGGGTTACTTCCCTTCTTTTAATGCCACTAGGACCAGCTTGAGAGTCCCTGGACCTCTGTCGCACAACATATCTGTCCATAGAGCTCTGTACCTCCCGTTTCTTTACGATTTGTCTAAAATGGGCCACAACATTGTCATTGTAATAGTCACCAGCACGGCTTGCAATAGCTGTGTTAGGGTGATTTTCATCTATAAAGGTTTGCAGTTCAACCCACTTTGCACACATTTCCTTAATCTTTGAACTAGGCACAATGGATTCCACAACTGGCATAGGCATCTCAGGGTTAGCCCCAAACCCTTCAAAATCTTTCTTAATTTCCATACTAATTCTCACCCTTGTTATCACAGGGGTGGCACTAGAAGCTTTCTTGGGGCCCATTGTGACTTATTTTGCAGGTGCAATCACTAAAAACGCTGTGATAATATGAAATGTTCCGATTGTATGTTTGGATGCGACCGCGGTGGCTGGCTTGTAAACACTGTACAGGCCACACGTGGACGCGTCTCGAACGGAACAAATCACATTGGTCGAGTTTTTTAGCGCTAGTTGAGACAAAATTTTTGCGTTAAAATGTATCGCTAGTTGGATTTAACGTTATACGATGCTGTCATTGGTCGAGGGTCCACTGTATTGTTCATTGAACGAGTGACAGGCAGACTGAGTCAGGTACGTGTGAGTGGCGGTGTCCCGGGCGGGTGAACGCATCTGTTACAGACGATTTCTGAGTGGATGTACGAAACCCGGGGTGAAAATTCGCCGAAAAAAGTTGCTGAAATCCAAATTGTACGATATTTGGACCAGACGAAAACCAGGGTTCCGCTGTACAATGATATGCTCTTGTACTCTCAAGTTAAGCTTAAGCTTGTCCAAAATGCTCTGTATAGCCATGGGCTTCCAACATGCGCCCATATGTTACTTATTTCTGTATAAACAATGTATCATGTTGAAATAAGCCTGTATAGTGGACCCCCGCATAACGATTACCTCCAAATGCGACCAATTATGTAAGTGTATTTATGTAAGTGCGTTTGTACGTGTATGTTTGGTGGTCTGAAATGGACTAATCTACTTCACAATATTCCTTATGGGAATAAATTCGGTCAGTACTGGCACCTGAACATACTTATGGAGTGAAAAAATATCGTTAACCGGGGGTCCACTGTATTTGTATAAAGCTATTTCTTTATTTTGGTTTCTTTGGAATAACTAGAAAAAGCTTCTGATAGGATTCAAACTTTTAACATTGGTATATTCTGGGTTGGGATTGTTATTGCAGTGTGTAGGGGGCCAGCTTGCTAATTTTATTTTTAATATGGTAAGATATTTTTTTCCAAATAACTTAAGTATGTCTCTTTTGAATGACTTCATTTTGTAATAGATGAGGCATCTTATGAAAAGATGATGTACTTTAGAGTTAATTGAGTCACTGGTCAGCTTTGTAGGTGCAAATTTGCTAATTTACTAACATAGCTAATCAGTATCCCACAAAACTGGGTTATGAATCATGCAGATTCTATTGTTTAACTTTATTTGCATGAGTTGTGCATAGATAATAAACTAAATAGCTGAAATCTCAAGAAACTGGTGTTCTCAGTGGTTGTACAATGTAAGTTCAGTCAAGAAAGAAATTCTGACATAACTTGTCTCAACACTCTTTTTGGTCACAACACTGTGATGCTTTACATACTTGTCTGGGTTTACCAAATATTTTTAAATAACTTTTTTTTATTTTAGTACAGTCAGGTTCCAATTAGTGTAAATTTTGATTTAGTATGAAATTAATTAGTGTTGGTTCCCCCGAAACTCTTCAAATCATGCACAAATATTACATATATAATTTGAATAGCGTGAATTCGAATAATGTGACCACCTCACAAGATTCATTACTCACAGTAATTGAAACCTGGCTTTGTAATGCACTTTTCTATGTACTACAGTATATAAGTTAGCATTAATGTTAGCCGAACTTGAATTCTGGCATTGGGAAGTACAGGGTTTGCACTCTCATGGATGGATGGGGATGCTGCACTTCCAAAGGTCACTTGAATTGTGATGTCTTTGAACATCTGGCAAGGTAGCAGTTGAATGATTTATGGTGAATGTGTTTATCTTTTTTGGTCACCTTGGTGGGGTACAACCAGTGTGGTTAAAAAAAAAAAAAGTAAAAATGTTTGTTTATTATTGAAAATGACTTAATAACATTAACAGGATATTGGTGGTCATTATCATGTACTTTCAAGAAAGCAACAAATTTGATGAACTAACAATTTTTGATGCATTAATAAATTTTATGAACCAGTTTATTTTTATATACAGTACTCAAAGATTTATACCAACCAATTTTACATACGTACCAACCAATTTTGCATACGGTTACAACAAATATTATTGGCCAGCAAAACTACAGTGCTGAGGATGTCTATAGTTTACTTACTGTAATGAAAAAAATCGTAATCACATTGTAGTAACATTAATAATATAACCCACCTTCATACTGACCTGGGAATGGAAATACATTAACCAGTAACTGGTTATATATACTAGGTAACTGAAGGCATCTGTTACTTCTAGGTGTGAAAGTATTATTTCGTGTTGGGTTGGTCCTGCTGAAGTATGGGCTGCGATCACAGGTGCTCAAGCGATGCCCGGGCATGTACGAGACCCTTCAAGCTCTTCGCAACATTGACCATGGTGTTATGGCTGAAGGATTTTTGCTATTTCAGGTAAGAAAGGATAATGCATTGTATTATATAAGGTGCTTCTTGACTTATGATGGCTCTGCTTACCACTTTATGATGGTGCAAAAGCAATTACAGTGGACCCCCGGTTAACGAACTTTTTTCATTCCAGTAGTATGTTCAGGTGCCAGTACTGACCGAATTTTTTCCCATAAGGAATATTGTGAAGTAGATTAGTCCATTTCAGACCCCCAAACATACACGTACAAACTTTCTTCTTTCTTTCAACACACCGGCCGTATCCCACCGAGGCGGGGTGGCCCAAAAGGAAAAACGAAAGTTTCTCCTTTTACATTTAGTAATATATACAGGAGAAGAGGTTACTAGCCCCTTGCTCCCGGCATTTTAGTCGCCTCTTACAACACGCATGGCTTACGGAGGAAGAATTCTGTTCCACTTCCCCATGGAGACACGTACAAACGCACTTACATAAATACACTTACATAATTGGTCGCATTCGGAGGTGATCGTTAAGCGGGGGTCCACTGTATTTTAAAAATGAAACTTAAGATAATTACCCAGCATGAAAGCAACATGTCTGTAACTTGTATTCATTTATTTACTTTTCTATTCTGGCATTTAATTAGCTACAGTAATTCTTTCTTTATTTACTTATTCAGTGACAGTAGTTATTTGTTTATTTATCATATACACCTACCATCCGACTTACGACCTGCTCGACTTACGACCACTCGACTTACGACCGTGTTTTTTATGCCAAATTTCTGGGAAATAAACAACTATTTGTGTTGTACACAGTGTTTATCCTAAACCTTACAGTATAAAATACAGTACTAACAACATAAAAAGTAAAGTAAAACATGAAATACCAAAATAAAACAATAAAATAGTCATTACAAAAATGTTTTGTTGATATTCAGTAGTAAAGTTCGACTTACGACCATTTCGACTTATGACCAGTTTCTCAGAACCGAACTCGGTCGTAAGTCGGATGGTAGGTGTACATGTATCCGTATTTGACTCATGTCATTTTTCAACATATGATGGGTTTGTTGGACTGTAACTCCATTGTAAGTTGAGGAGTACCTGTATTAACCCTTAAACGGTCCAAACGTATATATACGTTTTTTCAACATCTGAAAGTATGTAAAAAAAATGTAGATCTTCTTTTTTGTTATATTTGAAAATATGTAAAAGAAAGCAGATCTACTTTTGTGGCACTACGAATTTGAACATCGATCTGTTTGGACCGTTTAAGGGTTAAGCTACAGTTATTAGACCAGCAACTAAGTTCCCAGTATGTAAATTTATATTGAATTGTTGCAATAGGTACTGCATTCGTTATTTTTTTAATTCGGTTTAGGGGTGTGCCCAAGTTTTGGTTTTGGTATTGGCTAATTTTGATGGTACTAGTATCAGCCTGAAACTAAGTAATGGAATCAGTGGGTATTGGTCAGTTTTCATGGTATTGAGACCAGTATTGATGAGTATCATGTAATTTTGATGGTAATGATACCAGTGTTGGTGAATATCAGGTAATTTTGATGTTGGTACCAGCCTAATACTTAGTATGTATTGTAAAAAAAATTTGGTATTATCTCATCAGTAATTTGGTTATATGTAGTTACAAATATGATTCTATGTGTTTTTATGACCTGGAGAGTAAAGTAATATTTCTGTTTCTTCTTCTTTCAACAAACTGGTCGTTTCCCACCGAGGCAGGGTGACCCAAAAAGAAAGAAAAAAAAACTTAAATCATTCAACATTTTCACCATCACTCATACATAATCACTGTTTTTGCAAAGGCTCTCAGATACAACAATTTAGACATCCTTCCAAACTGCCAATATCCCAAATCCTCCTTTAAAGTGCAGGCATTGTACTTCCCATTTCCAGGATTCAAGTACGGCTAATCGGTTTCCCTGAATCCCTTCACAAAATATTACCCTGCTCACACTCCAACAGCTCGTCAGGTCCCTAAAACTATTCATCTTCATTCACTTCTATCTAACATGCTCACACACGCTTGCTGGAAGTCCAAGCCCCTTCCCTACAAAACCTCCTTTACCCCTTCCTTCCAGTCTTTTCAGGGATGACCCCTACCCCACCTTCCTTCCCCTACAGATTTACTTTGTTCCATTCTCTCTAAATGACCAAACCACCTCAACAACCCCTCTCTGACCCTCTGACTAATACTTTTAGTAACTCCACACCTCCTAGTTTCCACACTACGAATTCTCTGCATAATATTTACACCACACATTGTCCATAGACCCGACATCTCCACTGCCTCCAACCTCCTCCTCACTGCAGCATTTACAACCCATGCTTCACACCCTATATGGGTGTGTTGGTACCACTATACTCTTGTACATTCTTCTTTGCCTCCACAGGTAATGTTTTTTTGTCTCCACGGTTACCTCAGTGCACCACTCACCTTTTTTCCTTCATCAATTCTATGGTTAACCTCATCCTTCATAAACCCATCCGAGACAAGTCAACTCCCAAATATCTGAACACATTCACTTCTTCCATACTCCCTCCCTCCAATGTGAGATGCAATTTTTCTCTATCTAAATTGTTTGATACCCTCATCACCTTACTCTTATCTATGTTCACTTTCAACTTTCTACCTTTACACCCTCCCAAACTCAGCCACTAACCTTTGCAACTTTTCTTTAGAATCTCCTAAAAGCACAGTATCATCAGCAAAAAAGTAACTGTGTCAACTCCCATTTTGTATTTGATTTCCTATAATTTAATCCTACCCCTCTCCCCAGCACCCTAGCATTTACTTCTTTTACAACCCCATCTATAAATATGTTAAACAAAAAGAAAAAGGTAAGCCAGACTTGAGTCCTGGAGGCAGAAAGCACAGTACCTACACTCTAAAGTGATGAAAATGATGCAGTTTTGAAGGTTATGTGAACAGTGATGTCAGCACACTAACCCCTACCATTTGCATACCCCTGCTGTTTGTATACGCCTACCATCATACACCCATATCCTCGTACACCCCTACCCTCATACACCCCTACCCTCATACACCCCTACCCTCGTACACCCCTATCCTCGTAAACCCCTACCCTCGCGCACCCTACCCTCGTACACCCCTTCCCTCGCAAACCCCAACCCTTGCACACCCCAACCCTTGTGCATCCCTACCCTCGCACACCCCTATCCTCGTACACCCCTACCCTCGTACACCCCTACCCTCGTACACCCCTACCCTCGTGCACTGCTACCCTCATACACCCCTACCCTTGTACATCCCTACCCCTCACACACCCCAACCCTTGCACACCCCTACCCTCACACACCTCTACCCTTGCACTCTGCTACCCTTGCACTCTGCTACCCTCACACACCCCTACCCTCACACACCTCTACTCTCACACACCCCAATCCTTGCACACCCCAGCCCTCACACCCCAACCCTCACACACCCCTACCCTCACACACCCCTACCCTCACACACCTCTACCCTCACACACCCCTACCCTCACACACCTCTACTCTCACACACCCCTACCCTTGCACTCCCCTACCCTCACACATCTCTACCCTCGCACTCCCCTACCCACAATTTTTCATGACCCATATAGGTTAGATGCAATAAATGAATACAGAATATTATTATTTATCAAGTACAGTTACAAATATGGTGCATGTACTCAAAGAAAAAAAAATCAATAGATTTTTCAGAGAGAATAAAAGGTAAAGTACATGCATGTTACTGTGGTGATATTAATAACAAAATGTGTCTTCAAAGAAATTGATTCAGAGGAAGAAAGAAGTGAGGTTATTTGGCTACACTTGCACAATACTGTAATCACAAACTGTTTTCATGTAACACATTCATGTATCATAGTCAACCAGCTTTGAGGTATAACATGGATTTTGCTTCTAGAGAAATATTGCATCTGCAGGAAGGCACCACTTACATAGCAGGTTAGGTTCTCAACTGCTGTCAAAAAGCAAAAATTGCTAAAAAGTTAAACATATTCTTTTTTCACTTTCAAATGCATATAAAAGCCTGATAACACATTTACATTATCATATATTAAGTGCGTTATAGAGCTAGGCCTAAAAAAAAAGATATGAAAGTTAAATGAATGTACAGTACACACACGTTATTTACTACCTTAAAATATTTCCGTCCTTAGCTTATATGTAGTGAATGTTGAATTTGAAACTTTGGAAAATTGCCAGAATACAGAGATGCAGAGCACACAGATTCTGTAAACAGACTGAAGTCACTGACAGTAAAATGGTACCAACCCCCTTCCGTGATTCAGCTGTTGAGTACATCAGGCTAAAAAAAAAAAAAATGTCAAAAAAGCGGGACACATGCCGAATATAATTGAAAACCGTCGAATTAATGGAAGGCTGAAAAACAGTATGCCATAAAATGAGACCTTCTTTTACTATGATAGTCACAGAAATAAATTATGTCTTAGTTTTGTAATTAACTGGTTGTTTTGCATTTCAGATGCAGCGGCTAGACCTGACTGAAGACGACCTGCAGAGAGAACACCAACGACAGGTACAAAAGCGGAGACAGGCAGCCAAAGACGCCGCAGCCAACGGGAGATAGAATGTTACTGAGGATGGATTTAAATTAGCAGAGAGGTCTTGTATTTCAATCCACCGGATGGACCGGAACTCTTGATTGTTTCCATTGTTAGGGAACTAACAAGGTAACAAAATATCATGGTAGTATGATGGTATTGGATATTCTTTCAGTATTTTCCTCCTGAAATATATTGATTTCCAAGCCATTTTTGATTGAGGTTTGCAGGAGGATAGCTAGACGTTTATGTTCTTAAACTGATGCTATAAACACTGCTAACATCGGTAATAAGGTGACAGCAGAATTATTGTACATATCTCTCAAAAATTAATGGAAGGACCAAAGTTTTCACATTTTTTTGGATGATATAGGGGTCATATAAGAGGCCTCTCTAATAAATTTACCTAGCTTGGTGTAATCTCACTTTTGGCATTTGAGGTGTATCTAAGATACTATGCCATATTTTTGTTAATGTTGCCTGAGTTTGTTGATCTTGGCTAACAGTTGGTTTAGAAATATAACTTGATTATCATACTGAATGTCAGTGTAGTGTGAGAGACAAGACTTGCGCAACACCTTGGGTGCAGTAGCTATTGTCTTGTTGAGCAGCAGTAGACTGTTGATGACCCAGCCATAGCAACAAGTTGATCAGATGGTGTTAGTTACCTCTCTAGGGACAATGGAAATGTGGCCTTTATAACAGCTGGGGTTTTCTTTTTAGGTGACAGTGAAATGTTACAGAGATGCATGCCAGGAGTGGGTTTTGATGTTGAGGTGAGTGAAGTGTGTGTTGAGCAGCATTAATGCTGGATTTCGGTTCATATTTAGTAACTATTGGGAGTTAATATTAATTCACAGAGAAAAATAAAGGTAATTTTTATTTAAATTTGCTAGTTATCTGCCTTTTTTTATGTAGTTTATGCATTGAGAAACACTTTTATAATCCATAACGAGTTAATTGTTGTACTTGATGTGGACCAAATATACAGGATAAGATTTTTTGTAATATTAAGTGGAAGGAGGAGCTGTATCTGATCTGTCTCTTCAGAGATAAACAGAATATGGATTTTTCTGCATATTAAACCAAGGCAAGTAAATATTACTAATGATAATTTTGATGTTTACATATTTGAATTTAATCAGGATTTACTGATACGTGGGTATCATATTTTCTATTACCAAAATTCCTAGAGAAGTTGGTTTTTGATACTCCTGTGTTGCCATCTACTCATATGGTACATTAATTTGAACTATAAGTCATGTAGATAACACTTTAAATATTGATGCTAATTATGTTAAAATAAAGTTTATAACAAGTGTGATGGCAAAATGGTGCTCTTAAACTCAAAAAAAAAAATAATATTTATTCATAACATTGTCGCCATCACTACTTCTTAATTACAATTTTGTTTTTACACTTGATTCACAAGTAAAATGAATAAGTGCATTACATTATATCATATGGAGGTGTACTCTGAGAGAATGTAATGTTGCAAGGAAAATTATCTGGCACAGGCTTATTACATTCTGTTAAGGACATCTAAATTCAACTTCTTATTCCTTTATTTGAGGTTAATTACCATTGAGAGAGAGCATCTAGCACTCAGTGTTTGTCACATGGCTAGCACCACCAGGCAGATGATAATGCCCTCTCAGGGAGGTGGTGTTATGCATGATTTATCCCTGTGTGCACACTGTGCATGCCTTCATACTGTATTGCATGGGTAATACTGTGAGCAAGAAGCCAAGAGTATGGTAAAGAAGAGTAGATGAATGAAGCACTTGTGCAGCATTTAGGTATCTTTATCCCATAAATGTTTTGCCAGCCAGTGGCTTCAGTCCAGTGCAGAGAAAAGTGAAAGATGAAGAGTTTGATGTAATCAGTCCCTCAGCCTGGAGTTGATGGGTTCAGTCCATTGATGGACTGAACATATTGACTCCAGGCTGAGGGACCGATTACCTCAAAATCTTCCTCATTTTCCACCTTTCTCTGCAATGGACTGAAGAAGCCACTGGCTGGCAAAACATTTCCAGAATAAAGTTACCCAGATGTTGCACAAGTGTCTCATTTATCAAGTTGTTGGTTTTGTAAACCATTTATTCAGCAAGGAGAGTAGGCTTGCTGTGTAGTAGTACCTGTCAAGTCTTGCTGGTGGATTACATCCACGAGAAATGTGGTTCTTTTTTTTTTTTTTTTTTTGGCAGTGGAACTTTTAGATTTGTTGCTGTGTCATGTGTACTTTATCTTGGACAGAAGAATAACTACCGAAGGCATGATGCAATTGAAACCAAATGAGTATAGCTATATTATTATACTAAAGATCATTCTTTGTTTGTGCATATCAGGATGTTAATATTAAGGTAATCTAGTGGCCTTAGATAGCATTTGGGTAAAAAAAATTGTCACATTGAGCAATTGTAAATGGAAATAATCAATGCCATGTACAAATTTTGTCTTTCTCTCCAAACGTCTTCTCTGCGGCATACCCAGGTTCAGAAACTCAATGGCAGCAGGTAGTAGCAGTAGCCTAAATGATGATTGCACACTTCTCTCTACATTTACCTCTCAAAGTGGCAGAAGTAGCGATAAACTAGTCTTGGGTATGAAATCCTTTGCTGTTTGCCCACAAGATCAACCAGTGCCTCTTGCATATAAAATATTGATATATTTAGATAGCTTATATATTTTGTGGCATATATGTAAATTATATAGATAGTCTTAAGGCTTAAGATTTTAGAGTTTACAGATTTGTTCTAAACACTGTACTAATTTTAAGTCAGTGTTGATAATGTAATATTTAGTGTTATGTATTTCATGTTTCCATTCTCTTTGATTCTTATAGGCTTATGTAATCAAAATAACAGTTTGTAAAATATATATACAGGACTTATTAAAGTAGCCAGAATGTAGCTATTAGATTATTTCAATTATACGCAAAGATTTCTCTCCTCTCATACATTGTAAATTCCCAGTTACACTTGCTGAAGTTAATGAACAGTCTGCATGGGAAAAGTGTTCTCTATCATATCTTGAATTTGTTACTTAAATTGCTTATTTGAATACATGCATGTGTAATAATGAAATTTTGGGAGAGAAGATTAGGCTTAATGTTTGGATAGTCTTCATCATGGGATATTATCTTGCACTGAAATAAGAACATAAAAAGGAACACTGCAGCAGGCCTACTGACCCATGCAAAGCAGGTCCATGTGACACCCCCCGGATGCAAGTTATAAATCTCTATTCTTGAATTGTCTCAATACATAAGCCAAGGAATAGTTCCTGTATCTGAATACAGGAGGTTCCCAAGATATATAGATCTGGACTTTAAAGCCTTCAACCAGTAAAATTTTGACAAGTGCTGAGCTGCAGCACGAATGAGTTAAACAGAGCCAACCTGTGTACTGTTTCTTTCAATACAAACAACTGGTTTGTAAGGTAGGAAACCATTAACACAGTCCATCTGTAATTTCGGAACCTCTTGTGTAGTTGTTGTCACAGGAAAAGTCTTGTCTTATGGCAAGGAAGATGGTTAAGACCTATTTTGTGAAGAATAGAGATAGCAGCTGTGCGAGAAGTTAAGATATGTAGTGTTGAAGAGGTACTTTTAGATCTTTGAAAAATGGATTTCCGTTTGTATAAAATTTACTTTGAGTTTGTGTAACACTTTGAATCAAGTTTATTGTATAGTAATTATACCAGCTGTGTATCTTGGAAGTATACATGTCCTGAGAGAGTAAATATGTGTTTATGTAACCTGTCCTCCTAATGCCAATGCTGTATTTTTTCTTTATATGCTTAAGCTAATTTCTCTATGTTCATTATTTAGGTTAGGTTAACATTAATAAATCATTTAATCTCTATCATAGCATACACTAACACCAATAATTGCATACAGGCAACAGTATATATTGATGCACAAATCAATTAGACTGAGGAATTGACAATGACAATCCATTGTTAACATTTTATTGTCAATTACTGACAGTCTCGGGATGCCGTAAAATTCTGACATTTGCTATGGAGGACAGGTTGCTTTATAATAACTATTTAATAGAGTTAAGAGCTGTGTACTAATATACAGTGTTAAAGAACTCGTGTCAAAATGAGTCTCTTTTAATCCACAGTTAATAATTTTTGTTCAAATAAATATGCAGCTTTGTATAGACAATTCAAAAGTATGAATATATTGCTCATTTCTTAATTAAGGGTCCCTGCATCCAGTCATATATCTTTAATTTACATTATATATATAGTTCACATTTATAATTCCATTGTCATGGCATGGCAGACACCATTCCTGATGCTTTATGTTATTGAGGAAATGGAGCATTCAGTCAAAATTATATCTTTCTTTAGTTCTCAGAATCTGTTAACGTATCATAATAAATGTAGATACTTCACTTACATTTTAATATGATAATGGTATGTAATACAGACAGGTTGATAAGTGAGATGCATATGCAGTAGTTAGATATCTTTATTGCAAAATGTTTTGCATACACAGTAGGCTTCTTTTGTTAAATACTGCTTCTGCTGCCTCTTCTGTGTTCAACTGAAGAAACCTACTGTGTAGGCAAAACATTTGGAATAGATATCTTAACTGCTGTACACGTGTCTTACTTTTCGACTTGCATTTTTATTTAGGTTAGTGACAAATGGCATAAAGTTGACAGGTGGTGAAAAAGGCGCAGTTGCAGTAAGGAACTTTATCGAGATGTCATCATGTGAAGTATCTCGATGACATTCCTCTGTAGTTTCGTCATTTGCACTACCCATTGTTAAGGAATGCATTTAGTTTTGATGAGTACCTCCATTTGCCTCTTGAATACAACTGGTCATAATAAGTTTTGTGCACAAGTTAATCTCAAGTTTATCTTAAGTTATTAAAGTTAGTGTGAGGTGGTATTTCCAAGTTATTAAAAACCTCAAGGCCTTTTTTCACAAAATTTTCCTTGATTTGTAAATGTCAAAAGCATAGTGTGCTTAAAAAAAATTAGCTCGTTACTTATCATTTACGTTACAATATTTTAATGGTTTGTGTGATCTCTCTTATTGGGTATTAACCCTTTCACTGTCAAGACCCCTGCTCACAAACTTGTTCTCAGTGTTGAAGAATTTAAAAAAAAAAGTTATTTTTTCTAATGAAATGATAATCTTTTCCTGATGGTAATGAAATTTGATGGAAAACTTATGGAATTATGCTCTCGCAAAGTTGGCAGCCTTGGCAATATTTATGCATCAGCAATTTCGCCTACTTTGAGCCCTATTTCCAGTCGACCAAACTCAACTATTTCGCTAGAACTCCTTTTGTTTTATTGATTAAGTACAAGAAACCATCCATTTACCAATTTCGACTACCCAATAAAGTGATCAAAAATTGGTAATTTGGCCAATTTCATGCAAAATTCAGGAAAGTCTAATATCAGAATAGGGTCCAGAATTAACAATGCAAACATTCCTAGAACTAAAATAACATTTTCTCTGTTCATTAAGTCACGTCTTGAGGCCCCTTTTATATTAAACTTGCTTTCCATTTTGAATTTTTATTCACACAAAAAATGGAAGATTTGCTGTTGTGCAGACTACTGCATTATTGTAAAATGTTATAAATAATATCAGTGCATTTGTAAAAGCATGTTAGACCCACCAGTTGATGTGTATTGGACGCATGACGTGAATTGTTTGCTCTTGAACATCGGCAAAAATTGAACATTTCCGCTACTCTGATCTCAGTTTCAATGTACTTTTAGTCTGTAAACCATTCAAAATTCTAGTTCTGTAATATATCTTCCATTCTATCAAATCAGACCAAGAAAACAATAATGCAACCATAAGTACTATACGAAATTACACCGTAAATTTTGCTTTTTTAAATAAAACACACAGTCGGAGTTTTTTTTCTCATGTACTGCGTGCTGCAGGATTTTTTTTATACTGCACACACTGACCACTCAGACCTGTTCTCTCACATGTAGACCTACCAGCTTTCTCCTGCAAGATTGGAAGCCGCTAGAATTTTGGCATAGTATTACGAGACTGACACTGGCTTGCAAGCCGTAATATTATGGGACCGACAGTGAAAGGGTTAATAGTGGTAAATTGTTGAGAGTACTGAAAATTTTAATTCTTTCTTTCAACACACCAGCCATATCCCACCGAGGCGGGGTGGCCCAAAAGGAAAAACGAAAGTTTCTCCTTTTAAATTTAGTAATATATACAGGAGAAGGGGTTTCTAGCCCCTTGCTCCCGGCATTTTAGTTGCCTCTTACGACACGCATGGCTTACGGAGGAAGAATTCTGTTCCACTTACCCATGGAGAAAATTGTAATTATTGCAGTAAATTAACAATGATGTTAGCAAGCTTTTTTTTGTTATATTAAAAATCACTTAACCCTTTCACTGTCCTGACCCTCAGAATTAAACGTGCTCACAGTGTCCACATTTTTCATCTAAATTCAGCTGAAATAGTAGAAAATCTTTTTTTAAATGTAACGATATAAAAAATACAAAAGTTGGTGGAAAACTTACAGAATTACATAGTTGCAAAGTTAATGGTCTGGGCACAGTTTAAGCACAAGCAATTTCACCAACTTTGAGTCCTATTTTAAGTTAATTATGTTGCTCAGTTTAACCAAATTTTAGCCATTTCACTAGTAGACTTTCCATTCTATCAATTTAGCACAAGAACCTGCTGATTCAACTATCAAAAATACTCTATAACGTGCACAGAAATTGGTAATTTGGCAAATTTTACACAAATTAAAAAGAATTCCAATTTAAAAAACAGTCCCAAGTAAACACTGTAAAGATTCCAGCACTAAAACAACATTTTCTCTGTTCATTAATCATGTCCCCAGCTTCTCTTGGATTATACTTGCCTTCCATTTTGAACTCATCATCACACAAAAAATAAAATATTTGCCCTATTTCTCAATTTATAAAATATAACCAGGAGTGATTGGTCATGGTTTACAGCATCCCAATAATTGAATCAGAAAAAGTGTCAGGAAGGGTCATACCCATCCTAAGGAATATCAACAAAAATCAAATATTTCTGTTACTCTGAAGCAGATTTCAAGTTACTTTCCCTCCTGGAAACAATTAAAATCATATTTATTTCAGTAGCATGTTTTCCATTCTATCAAATGATACCAAAACATAGCCAATGAAATCATAAAAAACATCTTAGCACTTCAGAGTCAGTCTTGTAAACCAAACACAAGGTCAGAGTTTTGTTTTTCCCATCATGCACTGTGTGAGACAGGATTTTTTTTTTATACTGTATATACTCACCACACAAACTTATTCTCTCATCTAGGCCAAAATTTACCACTCACTGCTTATCTGAGTGAGCTGAGCTTATGATGTAGATCTACATGACAGCTCCTGGCATCAATAATATAGTTCTAGATGACAAACCTTGGCATCATTAATGTAGTTCTACATGACAGACCTTGGTGATAATACTGTAATTTTACACGATAGACCCTGATGTCAGTAACGTAGTTCTACATGACAGACAGTGAAAGGGTTAATAACCCAATATCTCCAGCACTTTGTAAATCTTACTACAGGGCTCTCTTCTTGGTTAGAGATTGGGCAGCAGTCTCTAAGTAATCAAGTGGTCATTTATTACTCCCTGTAATAAATGACTTCCTACAGGCTTAGCACTTTGTGAAATATAATTTTTGGCAAGGAATCCACCTCATCTCTTAAATGTTAGTGTCTCTTAGTTTCACTTGTATTACAGTACAAACTTTTAGCATATTTTCTGTATATTTCAGTCCTGATAGTCTTCTTATCAAGTCACTTGGTACTTTCAGTATGTTTTCTGTGTATCTCAGTCTTGACAGTCTTCTTATTAAGTCACTTGGTACTTTCAGTATGTTTTCTGCATATTTCAATCCTGACAGTCTTTTTATTGAGTCACTTTGGTACTTTCAGTATATTTTTCTGTATATTTCAATTCTGACATACTTCTTATTGAGTCAGTTGGTTGTGTTTTGTGTAAAGGCTAAGGCACAAATTCTACACTTTATTGGTATTTTGGTGTACCATACATAAACATGGATTGTAGATAATTCCTATTCTAATTCATACTCATTTCTAGGATGTATGTGTGTGTATGGTCATAGATTTCTGTTTGAGGGCAGCTAAGTCTTAGCTCCTTGGCCCAGTTCTTAATCTTTGTTGACCATTGTTATTGGTTTCTGGACTCTTGGCCCTTGTCACACCAATGCCTACTCTCAAAAAATGTTTGGAATTTGCCTCCATTGCCTTCACATCTAGTTAATTCCACTTCTCCTCTACCCTAAGACTGAGACAATATTTTCTAGCATCTCAGTGACTCATTTTTTTTTTAAGCTTTAATAAATATCCCCATGTTCCTGGTCCACACAGTTCAAACAGTCTATCCCTGTTAATCATATCATTTCTTATCAATATCTCTTATGTTATAATCATGTCTTCCTTAGTCTCTCCTTCAGTTTTGTCATGTTTGGTTCCTTTTGTCTCGTGTATTGCACATCCCTTCAGTTTTTGGATTATTCTAGTTGAAAACCTTCAGACATCTTCAAGCTTCTGAAGATGATTGATCAGGTGGGCATTTCCATGCAGCTGCTGCTGCATCACATACTACATTATACACAGTGTGTAATTGCCTATTTGAGTTTCTATAGAGCAGGTAAACTAGTTCCAGGTTCATCTTCTGAAGAGTAGTGCAGAATGAACTGAACAATGACAAAGCGGAAGAAACTTGCAACGAGTTTCTTCCACTTTGTCATTGTTCAGTTCATTCTGCACTACTCTTATATTGAAGAAATGCTTTGATATGCCTGGTTATGTAATTTCTAACCATGGCCTCCTGTTTCATTCCCAGTGAAGATCCTTTCATTGTCTACCCCCAAAGTATTTTTACGTCTGTGCATGTGTTTGTGTCTGCATGTGTGTTTATGTTCTTCATATTTATAAGTTAGACTTTAAAAATCTTTATTACATCAGAATGAAGAAATTTTATTTATTTTTTGTAATATTTTTCACCATAATGAAGTATGTACCCATTTTAGAATTGATCTGATCCTAAGACAGTATTGTTGAAGTATAGATTTGTGCCTCTGTCATATGTTAACATTATTTTGCTTTGTGATAAAGTTCTGCTTACATTTTAACTTTATCACAAGTTTTTGTGTATTAACTTTAGCAAATATCAAACTTATGATTGATGTGTGCATTGATAATAATACATAATGAAGTTCTAAAACAGTTCTTAATGTAAATGAAGTGTCTAGGTTGAGTTTAGAAAAGAGACAAGATGTGACATTGCATCTAGCAGGACAGTGTGATAGAGAGTGCTTCTGCTCGATACATTGCTAAAGCAAGGCCAAACAACTCTTGCCTTGATCAGAATCAAAGATGTATTTTTAATACTTTTGTGACTGTCTCCTTCATTAGGTCACTCTGCCTTGGTAGGATATTGCCATATTGTTAAAAAAATAAATCCTTTTTGCCACCAAGGTTGGGTGATCCTTAGGAAGCACACATTCCCGAGTTGTCTTTCCAGAAGTGCATGGGCATGACAAGTTGTCTTTCCAGAAGTGCATGGGCATGACAAGTTGTCTTTCCAGAAGTGCATGGGCATGACAAGTTGTCTTTCCAGAAGTGCATGGGCATGACAAGTTGTCTTTCCAGAAGTGCATGGGCATGACAAGTTGTCTTTCCAGAAGTGCATGGGCATGACAAGTTGTCTTTCCAGAAGTGCATGGGCATGACAAGTTGTCTTTCCAGAAGTGCATGGGCATGACAAGTTGTCTTTCCAGAAGTGCATGGGCATGACAAGTTGTCTTTCCAGAAGTGCATGGGCATGACAAGTTGTCTTTCCAGAAGTGCATGGGCATGACAAGTTGTCTTTCCAGAAGTGCATGGGCATGACAAGTTGTCTTTCCAGAAGTGCATGGAGATGACAAGTTGATTTTCCAGAAGTGCATGGAGATAACAAATTATCTTTCCAGAAGTGCAGAAGTAACAAGTAGTCTTTGCAGAAGTGCATGAACATGACAAGTTGTCTTTAAAGAAGTGCATGGACATGACAATTCAGATGAGCCACTGATAGATATATCGCACAAACTATCTTCATAAATCTGACACAAGAGAGTGGCTATATTGTACATTTATGATACTTTGGCTCAGGTTTTGCAAAATTGGTAGTATTTGTTGGGTGTACAACAGTGACCTCTAGTCCACTGGGGCTTCCAAGACTTTAACTCCACATTAATATTGCAATATTTTTTTTTTTTTTTACATTGGCTATTTCTTAGCAAGGTAGAATGACCCAAAAAAAGGAAACACATTCCATATCAATTACTAAAATGGAAAATGTTTCCATTTTTATCAAGAAATTTCAGGTTTGTGATACTAGAGTTATCAGGAAATTTGCAGAACAGAAAGGCTAGTTCTTTTTCTAAGCTGTTTTCTTAATTTAAAAAACAAGAAAATGTGTTGGCACTTGCAAAAAATTTAGGTCATTGAAGGCTGCTGGTATAGAAGGCCAATATAAAAATAATAAAATATAACTGTAGACAGCAGTTTTTTTCCGTCTGTATCCCACCAAGGCAGAGTGACCCAAAACAGAAAAATTAAAATTTTTCTTTTTAAATTTAGTAATTTATCCACGGGAAGGGGTTATTAGCAACTTGTTCCCTGCATTTTAGTCCCCTCTTATGGAGGAAGAATTCTGCTCCACTTCCCCATGGAGATAAGAGGAAATAGAGAAAAGAACTATAAAGAAAATAGAAGAAAATCCAGATAGGTGTGTAAATACAGTGGACCCCCGGTTAACGAACTTTTTTCATTCCAGTAGTATGTTCAGGTGCCAGTACTGACCGAATTTTTTCCCATAAGGAATATTGTGAAGTAGATTAGTCAATTTCAGACCCCCAAACATACACGTACGAACGCACTTACATAAATACACTTACATAATTGGTCGCATTTGGAGGTGATCGTTATGCGGGGGTCCACTGTATATGTGAGTGTACATGCATGTGTAGTGTGACATAAGTGTAAGTAGAAGTAGCAAGATATACCTGTTATCCCACGTGTTTATGAGACAGAAAAAAGGCACCAGCAATCGTACCATCGTGTAAAATAATTACAGGTTTAGACATCAGATAACCAGTTTAAAAACTGTTGTAAGTTTCTAAAGTTAATTTGCATTTCTGTTATATAAGACCCTGAAATGTTGAATATTTATTTATTGCTGTAGATAGAGAGGCTGTCCCTAGATTTCTCCATAAAGGCTTGCATTAATTTTCAATTTGCAGAATTTCCTGCCGGTTTAAAGTTATAAAAAACTTGTGTATGCTACAGATTTTGATATTGTTAATGCCTATAGTATTTCTGATTTTTTTATATTTATAATTGTTTTAAAAACAGATATAGGGGTGGGGATGTTGGCAGTTTTGAACTGGTATCAGTGCCCCTCTGGCAAGACAGTGATGGAGTGAGTGATGGTGCAAGTGTTTCTTTTTTTGGGTCACCCTGCCTTGGTGGAAGACTGCTGGTTTGTTAAAAAAAACACAGATCTTGAATGGCTGACTGATGAATATACCGGCTTCACAATACAGTGGACCCCCGCATAACGATTACCTCCAAATGCGACCAATTATGTAAGTGTATTTATGTAAGTGCGTTTGTACGTGTATGTTTGGGGGTCTGAAAGGAATAATCTACTTCACAATATTCCTTATGGGAATAAATTCGGTCAGTACTGGCACCTGAACATACTTATGGAGTGAAAAAATATCGTTAACCGGGGGTCCACTGTAGTTTGAGTACAGATTCTATACATAAGAAAGATTTCCTCTTAAATCTGTGGAAAAAATGTTTGGAGTAATTTATATATATAGGCAGCAAGCTTTTGTGAATGATGTGGTCATTGATGGCGCCTACTAACAGAGGAATTCTTTTCTGCCAGATATGATTTTTTTTTTTTACAAAATTTGTATACAATTTAGCCACTTTGCACAAATAAAGTTTTTAATTTTTAAGTTACAAACAGTTGGGTGATACCACAAACATACATATATCCTGAGGTAAATTATGCTGATGTGGTTTCTGCAAGTCTTCAGATTGGTATTTGGGTAGTAATTGTTAAGTGGTGGTATTTTGTTTGCTGGGAGAAATATGAAGGTTTCTTGTAGTGAGGGACTCATTTGAAGGCATTTTTTTAGTAAGGGACTTATTGCAAGGTTTCCTTTAGTGGGGAAGTGATTAACATAATACCCTATTTGGTGAAACTTGATCATCTGACCGAGGCTTGCAGATGTGCCCCCATATACAAAAATCACATCATAAGATGTGATGGTACCTTATAAACCCCCATATATAAACAGTGGATCACCACACAGTATTCTCTAAGCAATGACTTCATACATAGTACATAATTTAAGTTTATCAGTGGTATCACTGATGTGTCTCCTCACCACATTAGTCAGTCATGTTGATAGTAGGTCAGGTAGTCTTATATCCTCTTGACAAGTTTTTAGAAGACACAGATTTATCCAAAGTGCCACAATAAAAATTATAAATATAACCTTTATGTATAGAATATGCCCTTGTAATTGTATATCTTACATAAATCAATAATTTATTTAAATACTAATACTGAGATTATGTATTACACTTGGAAACTTTAATCAAATATAACTGCTTTGTGGATTTTGTTGGCATCATAGAGTCAACTGTAGCCCTGTTTAAATTTTTTTATCCAGTGTTTATTTAGTAGCTACAGATTACAAAAATACAGTAAACTTTCGATGTAATGAACTAGCAGAGGGGTCCAGGTGGCTGCTAATGGGGATTGTGATGGATAGAGGGGTGATTGTTGTGCTGCAATCATGACAATAACAGTTCTTTAACTAACGGACTTTGCCCGCTGTTTCCGAATCGATTGACCCATTGGATTTTGTCCTGTATTTTCAAAGTCACATCATAGTCCATTAAATCGAAGACTTACTTGAATACAGAGAAAGCTCAGTCTAACAGAGTATATTTATGGCCAATGATACATGTTATAGTGGACAAGATGGCAATGATACAGAGTCAATGAACTTTCACGAAGGACTTTCTAGTTATTTTATGAATATCCTCATGTGACCCAAAAAAGAAGAAATGAAAGCTTTTCTACTTTTTACATTTTATACAGGAGAAGGGGATTACTAGCCCCTTGCTCCCGGCATTTTAATCGCCTCTTATGACATGCATGACTTACAGAGGAAACATTCTTCTGCACTTTGCCATGGAGAATTTCTGTATTACATAAATGAATTTGTGCAGCATTTCAAACAGTGGACATGGGCCTCTGTGGAGATTGTGAGTGGGGTAAGCCTTGAATAGTTGGTTTTGGCTGAGGTAGATTGTATTAGACTGAGCTGCACCCACTAGGTGGTGGCTGAGGTTTTATTTGTTGGGAAGTATGCCTGATGCAGGTGTTGGACAGTATGCCTGATGCAGGTGTTGGGAAGTATGCCTGACCCAGGTGTTGGGAAGTATGCCTGATGCAGGTGTTGTCATACGATGACCTGTTGAGTGATCATCATCAACTGGCATAAAAGTACTGACATCTACCCCACTTGAAAAATTTAACAGCTCACACTTATTTTTACTATTACTTCTGCTACCACTTGTACTACTATTAGTACTACTACTAGTACTGCTACTGGTACTTCTGTTAGTACTAGGACTACTATTAGTACTACTACTACTATTAATTGTACTAGTACATACTACTACTACTATTACTTATGCTACTACTATACTACTACTGCTGCTGCTACTACTACTACTACTACTACTACTACTACTACTGTTACTACTACTACTACTACTGTTACTACTACTACTACTGTTACTACTACTACTACTGTTACTATTACTGTTACTACTACTACTGTTACTACTATTACTGTTACTACTACTACTGTTACTACTACTACTGTTACTACTACTACTGTTACTATTACTACTACTACTACTACTACTACACTGCCACTACTACTACCATCACCACTACTACTGTCACTACTATCACTCCTACTATCACTACTACTACTACTGCTGCTGCTACTACTACTACTACTACTACTACTACTACTACTACTACTACTACTACTACTACTACTACACTGCCACCACTACTACTGTCACTCCTATCACTACTACTACTACTACTACTATTACTACTGCTACTACTACTACTACTACTACTACTATACTACTACTACTACACTACTACTACTACTACTACTACTACTACTACTACTACTACTACTACTACACCACTGTCACCACTACTACTGTCACTCCTACTATCACTACTACTACTACTACTACTAAAACTTCTACTACTGTAAACCACATGGTGATACTAGCCCCACTTGTCTGCTAGCCAAAAGCTGTAAGTTGATGACATCTATGGTAAATTATCATTAAATGAATGATGATGTTAATTGACAAGGAGAAGCACATTTACTCTACTATTATCACTGGGTTGTATATTGTAAAGGACAGCATTGTATTAGAAACTAGAATAGTTAGTAGCTAGAAAATTTATGACAAGTTTTAGTGGTTGCTAGTAAGGTCATTGAGAACTTTACTGCATACCAGACCAAGGAATGAACGGTTTGATTGGGTTTTTGAGGTATATAGAGCTAGGTTAACAATGTTAAATCCTAGATGTTAATAGGGAAACAACAGACTTCATTAAGGTCGACTATGGGTTTGGTAAATAGACAGTATGTGCAAGTTTTGATCTAACTTTTATAGTATTGGACACAACACATTTGTTTGTGTTGAAGTGGAAGTTTGGTGATGACTTTTTCAATATTTTGACTTTGCAAAAAATGTGGTGAGAAAAAAGGTTTGAATTAATTATTTGTGCCATGTTTATATGTTTATTGTTTTCAAGAACATTGATGTATGGAATGTAGGATGTAATAGTTATATGAAATTATTCTATAATTTCTTGTTATTTGATACGAAGAACCTTATTAATGAGGTATATCTTCATTATATAGAGAAAATTAATAGTTTATTTAAATATTACATTATTTTTGTTTTTTTATCCCATTTGAATATTCAAATATGTTTTCCTTCCTCCATTTGAAACAGCCTTTAAGTCAGGAGGTATTAAGTATCAAATTTAAAATAAAATTTTAATTTTATATATCAGAAAAGTTATTTCCCCTGAAGATGGAGGATTATGGTCTTTAATGTTGAAGCCTTGCTGTGTGTGCCTGAGCTCCATCAGGGTGGCCATGATACCTGCAGGCTAAACTGAGCACTTCCCTGCGTGTTTCCTGTGTATGCTCTTTGTTGATGCTGACTTGGAAGTTGAGCCTGCCTGTGGAGCTGTGGTCCTCGAATAGTAAGTATGTTTCTTTTGTGGTAGGATAGAGGTCGAACAGGGGGTGCAGTGCTGGTTCTACTGAATCAGTTGGCTGGTATTAAATTCCTCCTGGTGGTAGGTCCTTCATACCTGGTTGGTATAGTATTAGTGTCATCACTGTAGTGGTCATACTGAATGTGCTTTACCACCTCAGGATGACATGTAGAGACCAAACCGAAGGTTGTACTGTGTGTCAAAAAACACTTATTTGCACTTCAGGATATTTATTAGAGGAAACATGAGTGTCATTTTCCACATCTTGTTGATATCGCTATACCATTTTTCTGAATATTGTACTGTGTGCTTGCTGTGCACAGTGGCCCATAAATTGACTCACGAAATCGTAGTGACATGATTGCAAACAAACCATACCACGGGCGGGATTTGAACCCGCGGTCAGAGAGTCTCAAAACTCCAGACCGTCGCGTTAGCCACTGGACCAGCTAGCCACAATAAGATTCGTCCAATAAGATTCCTAGTTGGACGAATCTTATTGTGGCTAGCTGGTCCAGTGGCTAACGCGACGGTCTCTAGTTGGACGAATGTTATTGTGGCTAGCTGGTCCAGTGGCTAACGCGACGGTCTGGAGTTTTGAGACTCTCTGACCGCGGGTTCAAATCCCACCCGTGGTATGGCCCATAAATTCCTTGTTTCCTCATGTCTCAAGATTGGAAGGCCAGTAGAGCTGCAGCCTGCAGGTGGACAACACACTTTTTTGGTGAAGAGAGAGATCAGACTGGAGGTTCAGTTTTGACCCCATTGAGTCAGTCAGCTGGTGGGGTGATGTATTTGCCTAGGCCAAGTGACCGTCACTGAGTGGCACCACTTTGGTCCTGTACATGCCATTTAGCTCAACTTTGGTCACTCTTGTATAACTCTGTATTAGCTGTAGGGTCATTTTAGTCACTGGTTTAATCTCCCCTTGTTGGGCATGGTGGTAGCTGGGGAATTAGGAAGATGAAGGTAATTACTAACATTGTATTGATAATTTTTCTACACTGTTGACTCCTGAGCATCCACAGACACTCCACGAAACCTGGAGTCACTTTTCCACAATCCTTTTTTTTTTTTTTTTTTTTTTTTTTCAACAAGTCGGTCATCTCCCACCGAGGCAGGGTGACCCAAAAAAGAAAGAAAATCCCCAAAAAGAAAATACTTTCATCATCATTCAACACTTTCACCACACTCACATTATCACTGCTTTTGCAGAGGTGCTCAGGATACAACAGTTTAGAAGCATATACGTATAAAGATACACAACATATCCCTCCAAACTGCCAATATCCCAACCCCCTCCTTTAAAGTGCAGGCATTGTACTTCCCATTTCCAGGACTCAAGTCCGACTATAAGAAAATAACCGGTTTCCCTGAATCCCTTCACTAAATATTACCCTGCTCACACTCCAACAGATCGTCAGGTCCCAAGTATCATTCGTCTCCATTCACTCCTATCTAACACGCTCATGCACGCTTGCTGGAAGTCCAAGCCCCTCGCCCACAAAACCTCCTTTACCCCCTCTTTCCAACCCTTTCGAGGACGACCCCTACCCCTCTTTCCTTCCCCTATAGATTTATATGCTTTCCATGTCATTCTACTTTGATCCATTCTCTCTAAAATGACCAAACCACCTCAACAACCCCTCTTCTGCCCTCTGACTAATGCTTTTATTAACTCCACACCTTCTCCTAATTTCCACACTCCGAATTTTCTGCATAAATATTTACACCACACATTGCCCTTAGACAGGACATCTCCACTGCCTCCAACCGTCTCCCTCGCTGCTGCATTTTACCACCCAAGCTTCACATCCCATATAAGAGTGTTGGTACTACTATACTTTCATACATTCCCTTCTTTGCCTCCATAGATAACGTTTTTTGACTCCACATATACCTCAATGCACCACTCACCTTTTTTCCCTCATCAATTCTATGATTAACCTCATCCTTCATAAATCCATCCGCCGACACGTCAACTCCCAAGTATCTGAAAACATTCACTTCTTCCATACTCACTCCTCCCCAATTTGATATCCAATTTTTCTTTATCTAAAATCATTTGATATCCTCATCACCTTACTCTTTTCTATGTTCACTTTCAACTTTCTACCTTTACACACATTCTCAAACTCATCCACTAACCTTTGCAATTTTTCTTTAGAATCTCCCATAAGTACAGTATCATCAGCAAAAAGTAACTGTGTCAATTCCCATTTTGAATTTGATTCCCCATAATTTAATCCCACCCCTCTCCCGAACACCCTAGCATTTACTTCTTTTACAACCCCATCTATAAATATATAAACAACCATGGTGACATTACACATCCCTGTCTAAGACCTACTTTTACCGGGAAGTATTCTCCCTCTCTTCTACACACCCTAATCTGAGCCTCACTATCCTCATAAAAGCTCTTTACAGCATTTAGTAACTTCCCAAACCTATTCCATATACTTGCAACATCTGCCACATTGCTCCTCTATCCACTCTATCACATGCCTTTTCTAAATCCGTAAATGCAATAAAAACTTCCCTACCTTTATCTAAATACTGTTCACATATATGCTTCAATGTAAACACTTGATCTACACATCCCCTACCCACTCTGAAGCCTCCTTGCTCATCCGCAATTCTACATTCTGTCTTTCCTCTAATTCTTTCAATTATAACTCTACCGTATACTTTTCCTGGTATACTCAGTAAACTTATTCCTCTATAATTTTTACAATCTCTTTTGTCCCCTTTCCCTTTATATAAAGGGACTATACATGCTCTCCGCCAATCCCTAGGTACCTTCCCCTCTTTCATACATTTATTAAACAAACGTACCAACCACTCCAACACTATATCCCCCCTGCTTTTAACATTTCTGTCATGATCCCATCAGTTCCAGCTGCTTTACCCCTTTCATTCTACGTAATGCCTCACGTACCTCCACCACACTTACATTCTGCTCTTCTTCACTCCTAAAAGATGGTATACCTCCCTGACCAGTGCATGAAATTACCGCCTCCCTTTCTTCTCAACATTTAAAAGTTCCTCAAAATATTCTCGCCATCTACCTAATACCTCCCTCTCCCCATCTACTAACTCCCCTACTCTGTTTTTAACGGACAAATCCATACTTTCCCTAGGCTTTCTTAACTTGTTTAACTCACTCCAAAATTTTTCTTATTTTCATTAAAATTTCTTGACAGTGCCTCTCCCACTCTTTCATCTGCTCTCCTTCTGCACTCTCTCACCACTCTCTTCACCTTTCTTTTACTCTCCATATACTCTGCTCTTCTTATAACACTTCTGCTTTGTAAAAACCTCTCATAAGCTACCTTTTTCTCTTTTATCACACTCTTTACTTCATCATTCCACCAATCACTCCTCTTTCCTCCTGCCCCCACCCTCCTATAACCACAAACTTCTGCCCCACATTCTAATACTGCATTTTTAAAACTATTCCAACCCTCTTCAACCCCCCCACTACTCATCTTTGCACTAGCCCACCTGCCAACAGTCGCTTATATCTCGCCCGAACTTCCTCCTCCCTTAGTTTATACACTTTCACCTCCCTCTTACTTGTTGTTGCCACCTTCCTCTTTTCCCATCTACCTCTTACTCTAACTGTAGCTACAATAAATAATGATCTGATATATCAGTTGCCCCTCTATAAACATGTACATCCTGGAGCCTACCCATCAACCTTTTATCCACCAATACATAATCTAACAAACTACTTTCATTACGTGCTACATCATACCTTGTATATTTATTTATCCTCTTTTTCATAAAATATGTATTACTTATTACCAAATTTCTTTCTACACATAGCTCAATTAAAGGCTCCCCATTTACATTTACCCCTGGCACCCCAAATTTACCTACTACTCCCTCCATAACATTTTTACCCACTTTAGCATTGAAATCCCCAACCACCATTACTCTCACACTTGATTCAAAACTCCCCACGCATTCACTCAACATTTCCCAGAATCTCTCTCTCTCCTCTACACTTCTCTCTTCTCCAGGTGCATATACGCTTACTATAACCCACTTTTCACATCCAATCTTTATTTTACTCCACATAATCCTTGAATTTATGCATTTGTAGTCCCTCTTTTCCTGCCATAGCTTATCCTTCAACATTATTGCTACTCCTTCTTTAGCTCTAACTCTATTTGAAACCCCTGACCTAATCCCATTTATTCCTCTCCATTGAAACTCTCCCACCCCCTTCAGTTTTTGTTTCACTTAAAGCCAGGACATCCAGTTTCTTCTCATTCATAACATCCACAATCATCTCTTTCTTATCATTTGCACAACATCCACGCACATTCAGACTTCCCACTTTGACAATTTTCTTCTTCTTATTCTTTTTAGTAATTTTTACAGGAAAAGGGGTTACTAGCCCATTGTTCCCGGCATTTTAGTTGACTTTTACAACACGCATGGCTTACGGAGGAAAGATTCTTATTCCACTTCCCCATGGGTATAAAAGGAAAAGTAATAAGACCAAGAACTATTAAGATAAAATCAAAGAAAACTCAGATGAGTGTGTATAAATAAACATGTACATGTATGTGTAGTGTGACCTAAGTGTAAGTAGAAGTAGCAAGACGTACCTGTAATCTTGCATATTTATGAGACAGACAAAAGACACCAGCAATCC